TGACGCGAAGGCTCGGTCACCACGAAAACCACTGGTGAGGTCCCGATTCTCGTGCAAGTTGGCGAGGTACGTCTGAAGGGTGAGTCTTTCGTAGAAGATCACGTCACGTGCTGCTACTGTTTCCTTTGTGTGGACGTCGAAGATTTCCATGCGTTGTAATTTTTCTCGATGCCGAGGTGTAGTCCCCACTGTGCCCGTTGCGAAAATCTTCCCGCTCGTGCTTCTGGGGGTCTGTACTGTACCATGCACCCGAAAACTCGTAACATTTTCGTGCTGCCCTGCTTCCCTGTCCACAGCAGATGCGGTGATGCGTTGTTCGGGAGTGACGATGACGACAACAAGTTGTGTAGCATGACAGCGTGGTCCATTGCTGCTGGCCACTGGTGGTTGGGTAGCCGCATGCCACGTAATAGTTTGCGCATGCTGTTCTGCAGGGTCCTGTTCAGTCGTTCTGCAACACCTTGCTGCTGATGTGCGTAGGGAAGGGAGAGGAGTTGCTTGATCCCCCTTTCCGCCAAGAACTGCTTGAAGCGGTGAGAGGTGTACTCGCCACCTCCGTCTGACTGGAAAGTTTTCAGTTGTGTTCCAGACTCTCTCTCTGCTATCGGTAGCCAGGCGGCGAATGCTGCGAGCGCCATGTCGCGGCTGGGTAGGTTGCGATGCCAGACGTATCGAGTGGCGGCGTCGATGAAGGTGATGGTGTAGTTGTAGTTGACTTGTCCTGGCTCGCGATTGTAGAGGATGTCGCTGTAGACTTTTTCGAGTGGTGCGTACGCTGGAGCGCTCGGGTTGTGATGTGAAGCAAACGGTCGATGAGGTAAGTCAGCTTCGGGACATATAAGGCAAGTCCCTCGTGCCTTCTGGAGTTCTCTGCCATCGGGTAGAAGTAGAGAATCTTTGTCAAGGACTCCTGCTCTTATCGTGTTATTCAAAACCGTGTTGCTTGGATGTCCTGTTCGTGCGTGCCAGATCTCTTCAGAGGCGCGGTGTCCAGGTGAACGCTGATATGCGTCGGAGTTGGAGTAAAAGCTGGCGACGAGGTTGGCGCTTCGGTGGACTTCACGTTGAGTCGGATTCAGCTGTTTCGCGGGTGTTGGTGGTGCTTCGTCGACTGTGACTGGTGTCGTTGTTCCTGCTGCTGCTGATGTTGTTGCTGCTGCCGATGTTGTTGCTGCTGCCGATGTTGTTACTGCTGCCGATTGTCGAATTGTTGCTAATGCTCGTGTTCGTTCTGCTTCAGGAATGGTGTGCGAGTACCAGAAGCCTCCTGGGCTGAAGTCGGGGTCGAGATCCGGAGGGTGTGTCCAGTCAGTGAAATTCACGATGGCGTCGCTGTCTGCAGTGCCCAGGTCAGGAACGAAGTCGAGGACGAAGACGTTGTTCTTCAGCACTGCTTTCCCGATGTAGAGACCGCCTCTCCCGTGGTAAAGTTTGAACTCCTGGGTCGTGCTGTCGGCTTCCAGATGAATTCCTTTCGCCATCAACTGGCTAACGCTCAGTAAGTTGTAGCCGAGTCCTTCAGCGATGAGTACCTTAGACATGTGCAGTATGACATTTGTTTCTCTTGACTGAAGCTGTACCACTCCTTGTCTTCGTGTGCGCAGGTTTTGGTTGTTGGCAACCGTGATGATCACTTCCCGTTGGAGTCGATGTTCGCGTTGTACGAAACGCCCGGACGAGCACATGTGTTGCCCGCAGCAACTGTCCAAGAACCAGGTGTCTTGGCCGGACGGTTCACTTTGAGCGATGGCGGCGTACGTTGGATTCGGCTGGAGTAGCTCACGGCGAGGCGTTCTGTTGTCAAGCTCTTCTTCCGGTGAGTAGTGTGGTGGTGATTCGGTTGTACATGAATCGGTTATCTTCGTCATGCAGTTGATTATATTTCTTGCTCCTTGTGCAGGTTGTCCGGGTGAAGTCGTTGAAGCTTGAATAGTGGTCGTCGCACTTGCTTGTGTTGAAGCCATTTGGGAGCTTGAAGGTCGAAATTGTCGCTGTGGTGCCGTTGATTGCTGACGATTCGGGCAGTGTGTGCGCGGGTGCCCTGAAGTCTTGCAGATGTGGCAGAAGGGAGGTACTATCTTCGGTTGCTGCTGTCGGTTGTTATAATTGCTGTGTCGTCGTTGAGTGTGGAATGCGAACTCTGATACTGTCGTTTTCTTCCTGTGTCGTTCTTCCTGCAGGTCCATATCTTGCTGCTCGGCATGTATTTCGGCGCAGAGTGCAGCTTCAGAGATTCTTCCGTGGGCTCGAAGAATGGCTTTGGTGGCGCGCCACTGAGGACCAAGCCCACCAATGATGACTGTCACGAAGGCGTCTTCAGAGATTGACCCTCCGCATCGAAGCAGCTTGTCGCGCAGTTCGCGACATCGGCTGATATACGCCAGTCCCTTTTCTCCTGGTTTCATTTCGACTGTCGTCAACTGCGCCATTAACCTGCTCTGGTTTACACTGTCTGTTGCTTGATACAGGTTCTTCAGATGGCTGTACGCGAGCTCCGCCGAGTTGCCGAAGGTCCGGTAAGAGCGAATGTTCTGCTGCTGAGTTGGTGTCACGTTCCTCAATAGGATTGTATACGCCATCATTGATTGATACGTATACTGCTGCTTTTCATATTGTGTCCCGTTGGCTGGATACTGCAGGGACCCGTCGAAGAAGTCGAGTATCTGCGCGCCCTCCATCATCAGCTCGAATTCAAAGGACCAGGTAAAGAAGTCTTTGCCGTCGAAGGGTCTTGACGTTTGCAGTTTTAAGACGTGTGCAAACTGCGACTGAACTTGAAGTGCGTCCAGTGGTCTTTCTTGTCCAGGTGAAGGTTGCGGGTGGGGCACGAAGCTGATTGACCCGCGCTCGTACGGAGCAAAGGTAGGTTGCTGCTGCTGGTTTCCTCGCGCATATGACGACCCATCAAGACTCATGGGTGTCGCTCCGTTGTTGCTGTTGTGTGTTTGTGCAGGTCCCGACTGCTGGTGTTGTTCGTAGAAGGACATGAAGGAGAAAAATTTCTCCATCATGTTCTGGTCAAAGTCCGAAGGGTGGTTCATGGGGGTCTCGGTTGACGTTCCTCTTGGTCTTGTTGCCGTGCCTTCTTCTGTCTGCAGGCCAGAGGCTGGCGGTGGAGTAGGAGTAGTGCCCGAGGAGCCATTAGGGGAGCTCCTTTCCTTGTTTGTTGCCATGTCTTGTAATGATATTGAAAAAAGAGTAGAGTTTCCCTTGTCTGCTCTCATACCATGTTGGGCTGAGATAGCCCCTTAGGATCTTTGCAAGGGATAACTCTAGGTGAAGTAGTTGTAATAGCGGAAGCGTTTAGTGAAGAATTTGAACCGACCTTGCACTGGTGTGTGAGAGCAAAGTTGATTGAATTAAACAAGCAAATACAAGGATTTATATAAGAGTACAGGGAATAGATAGATAACTGTATTGCTGTTGCGGTTCGATATAGCGCGACTCGGGCAACTGCTCTGTAACGAGTCAGTTGTGTGTCCTTAACTGTCGCGCTGTAATTGTCGAGTCAAAGGTCAGCGACCTTTGACTTTCTCGTGACCTCCAGGCGGTTACCCTAACCTCCGAGGTTGACTCGATGCTTCGATTGGGACTGCTTCGCTTGGTACCTTGGATTTTGATACGACAGAAGCGCACTTAGGACTTATTGTTTCCAACATTATGCACCACCCAAGTCAAACGAACACATGAAATATTCATTTTAAACAGCCTATACGTCCTTGTTGTTCACCCAATAGGTGCATGCAACCATGCAAGCGTGATCCTTCCCCAACTTCCTACCTCTTACCCTTTCAGAGCTAATAATCTGCATGAAATGAACCCTCTTGTCTTATGATTGACATATCTTTATCTTGTACTTACATGACTAGAGATGCATCATCTCATGTTTCACACAGGGCCACTCCTGTACGTCCAGTCAACCCCCCCACCTGGCAGTTTCGCCTTCCCAAGCCCCCATGCTGCAGTCTCCTCATCCCAGCCACCACCGTCACCACCAGCTGGCTTTTGGGTAGACTCAAAAGTCACCTCGTCCAGTCAACCCCCCCACATGGCAGTTTCGCCTTGCCAAGCCCCCATGCTGCAGTCTCCTCATCCCAGCCACCACCGTCACCACCAGCCAGCTGGCAGATGCAGCAACAGCCGCAAGTCATTGTCCAGAATCTCCACTGAGATGGGCTGGAGCATGCGCCGTGCCCCCTGAATCCTGACACAGCAATTCACGAAAAAACCATTCTGTTCGTACAGTGGATTGCTCCTGGCGATTTCGCCTTCCCCAGCCCAGCGTCCCATGCTGCACTCTCCTCATCCCAGCCACCACTGTCACCACCTGCTGCAGCGACAACCCTGAGTCATTTTCCAGGGCCTCCACTGAAATGGGCTGGGGCATGCGCCTTGCCCTTGGAATACGAAAGGAGTGAGGCCCAGATCTCCACTAAGAGTCAGCCCCCCAAGTCATGGTCCAAAATTTCCACTGCGATGAGCTGGGGCATGCGCCGTGCCCTTGGAATACGAAAGGAGTTAGGCCCAGATCTCCACTAAGAGTCAGCCCCCCAAGTCATGGTCCAGAATTTCCACTGAGATGAGCTGGGGCATGCGCCGTGCCCTTGGAATACGAAAGGAGTTAGGCTAGGCCCAGATCTCCACTAAGAGTCAGCCCACTGCCCCCTAAGTCATGGTCTGGAATCTCCACTGAGATGAGCTGGGGCAAGCACCGTGCCCCCTGAATCCTGACAGAGCATTTCACAGGAAACCGCTTCTGTCTCCCAGCCACAACCATCACAACTTGCTGCAGCGACAGCCCCCCTAAGTCATTGTCCAGAATCTCCACTGAGATGGGCTGGGCTATGCCCCCTGACCCCTGAATCCTCCAAGAGTGCGTTTCACGGGAAACCGTTTCTGTCCGTACAGGGGATCGCTCCAGGAAGCTTAGCCTTTCCCAACGCCCCATGCTGCACCCTCCTCATCCCAGCCACCACTGTCACCACCTGCTGCAGCGTGTTTTACGGAAACCCGTTTCTGTCCGCACAGTGGATCGCTCCAGGAAGCTTAGCCTTCCCCAACGCCCCATGCTGCACCCTCCTCATCCCAGCAACCACCGTCACCACCTGCTGTAGTGACAACCCCAGGTCGTTTTCCCGAATGTCCACTGATACGGGTTGGGGCATGCCCCGTGCTATGGAGGATGCTACTAACGCTGCACTGGTGGCGCTGAGTGGGAAATACACGTCTTCTCCCGCTGCTGCAGCTGCTGCTGCTGCTGCTGCTGCTGCTGCTGCTGCTGCTGCTGGTGGTGCTGCTTCTGATGCTGATGGTGCTGGTACTACTGCTTCTGCTGGTTCTCTTGCTGTTGTCACAGATGGAATCGACTCAGAGAAAGGAGGCAGTGCTCGAAACAACCGGCACCGCCCGCTCTCCCCAACCTCCACATACGTCCCCCGGGCCCCAACCCTACCCAACACCTTCCTAACGCACTCAACCTCCCCCTCCTGAAATCGCCCATGCCGCATCACCACCACCCTTCCCCCCCTCACGTCCTCCTCCCTTATCGCCCTTTCGAGTGCCGCGGCAGGTACCGCCTCCCCTGCTACAGGACAAAGGACAGGCACAACCCTCCGAACCTCGCCTCTCGGCCCAAAAAATGAGATCACTGCCGGCTCATCCCACTCCAGTCCATTCAGAACGGAGCGAGAAGGCTCATCCGTATCCAAAGACCCTGAAGAATCACCAGACTCAGGAAGGGAGTGAGCAGAGGCAGGAGAGGAGGGAGCATGGGCAGGAGCAGACCTTCCTCCTTTAGCTGAAATGCCGATTATGCAGTCGGTGTGTTCGCCGAATCCGGGGGAGAGAATGTAGGGTAGAGCGCCGGATTTGACTGCGATTTTTTCCACGGAGGAGGAGAGGAGGGAGGTGAAGTAGGTGCGGGAATCGCTTGGAGTGGCGAAGGTGGTTGGGGTGAGCATGTGGGATGGGAGAGGGGAGGAGATGGTAGATGCGTTGCTGCTGCTTCTGCTGCTGCTACTTGCGCTGCTGCTGCTGCCGGTGCTGCTGCTAAAACTGGTGCTGGTGTTGTCGATAAATGTGTCCAGCTCTCTTGTCAAATCCTCCACTATCCCTCCAGTCGCATACTGCAGTGCCCGCCACACAACACCAGCCGCATTCGAACTCTGCTCCCCAACGCCTTTCCTGAAACCACACACCAGGACAAGAAACTCCGCCCCTGCATCTTTCAAGATGTTTACCTCTTGAACCATAAACCGCCTCAACTCCTCCTCACCACCATTTGAAAACTGCTGCTTCAACCCTTCTTCTCCCTTCAACCCTCCTTCTCCCAACAACCCTCCTCCTTTCACCACTGCTTCCACCAATCCCTCCTCCGATCTCCTTTGCTCCAAAGTCCTATTCCTAGGTTCCCATACTATCTTGCGCATTTGAGTCCTCTCTGCACTAGCTACACCCAGCTGACGCAGCTGACCCATCATCTCCTTTATAAACTGCTCCGAGTCAGCGTACAAGGAGGGTAATTTACCCGGGGGAGACACATACAGTAGACCTATTTGAAGGGGGTTTTCTGGAGTTTGGTACATCCCGTGTCGATGGATGGCTTTCCGAATCACTGTGACCGACTCGTCTACGGTTAGCAAAACCTTTCCACCCACTTCTTTCGACTGCCCGTCTACGTCGGCCTTGAGAACCGGGCCAGTCACCAGCTCCGGGCAGATGAAATTTTGACTGACCAGCGAAGAGGCAATCTCTTGAATCTGGGCGAGTCGAGATTCAGGAGAACGGATGGATTTGGAGCTTACCATTCGCACGCTGCCCATATCAAACCCTAAATCTCTCAGAAACTTCTCGTTCTCCGGGCAGATGACAAGTTCCAGATACTCAGGCAGCCAGTGAAAACCGTCCGCGATGAAAAGAACCGTGGACGGGTCAGCCTCTTCGAAACGTTTTCGGATTTCCTCCGTTGAAGTAACCCGCATGAGCCATTGAAAAAGCTGCCCGGATTTCTGACCTAACTGCTCCCATGATATTAATGTAGCAACTTTGGACCGGAAGGGTGTTTTCACAAGGGCGTCGAGTAGCTTACTGGGTGAGCTTATAGCGAGGATTTCTTTCAAGGGGACTCCGCGCCTGCTTCTGATGTCTATAACGAGAGCGGGCTGCCCGAAAAAAGAAACTGCAGAGAAGGATGGAACAGGTTTCAGAATTTTGTTCACATCCATGCTGCTGCTGCCACTGTTGCTATTCAATACGCTGCTGCCATTACTGCTGTTGCCCATGCTGTAACCACTTTCTCCCACATCAGCCAGCTGGCATTCCAATTCCACCTGGCGGTACAGCAGCCTCGCCACGTCACCACTGCTCACAACCCAGTTTTTGTCCTTTTCTGAAGTAGCTGTTACATCTCCTGCAGATAGCCTTACGTTTGATGCAGCCCCCGTTACATCTGCTGCAGCCCCTGTTGCAACTTCTGGAGCCCCGGTTACATATGCTGCTGCAGCTCCTGTTACATCTGCTGTAGCTCCCGTTACATCTCCTGAAGCTGCTGTTACATCCCCTTCTGTAGCAGCCGTTACATCTCCACCCACCTCAGCACCAGCCACACTCTGTGTCTCATATGACCTTCCTAAGTACTTCAGTCCTGAAACCACTCCCTGTAGCTCGGGAGTTAACTCATCCAGAAGCCGGAGCTCACTTAAGTGCTGACTCTCAGCTAAGTGCTGCTGCTGACTCTTACCTAAGTGCTCGGAGGAATCTGCCTTTCGCAAACACAGCAGCGCGTTGTGACTGGGAACGTACACAAACGGGACGCTTAGGGCCGAAGTTAGGCGGTATGCAAGCCTGCTCCCCAGCGTGGGCTGGTGTGGGACGTTTGCAGGCCAGGCGACGAGGTAGCGATCACAGGCGAACTGAGAGGCAAAGGCTGGGAAACGAAGGGATGGGGTGGGAAGGAGGGACGGTAAGAGCTGAAACTAGGCAGATGCATGCCTGCTCCTTAGCGTGGGTTGTGGGAAGTTTGCAGGCCAGGTGACGAGGTAGCGATCACAGGCGAACTGAGAGGCGAAGGCTGGGCAATGGGGGGAGGCGCAGCGGCACAGGAATGGGTAGGCGGGACGGTTAGAGTTTGGCGGTATGCCAGCTTGTTCTCATGCCAGGCGACGAGGTAGCGATCACAGGCGAACAGAGAGGCGAAGGCTACATAACTTGAGAGAGGAAAACGGGAAGAGGCAGGAATGGAAACACGGAGTAAGGGATGGCGACTTTTGAGTCGACTCAAGAGATAACTTGAGAGAGGAAAACGGGAAGAGGGAGTAAGGGAGTGGAAACATGGAGCAAGGGAGGGCGGGGCGACAGGGAAATAACATGTATGAGGCTAAGTTTTGTCGAAATGGCATGAGGAAAAACAACCGACTGGATGTTTCATATGCCAAGCGGTTTCAGAAATGCGACAGTTGTGTATGGAAAATGCTTCGGCCCTACACGTAGGGCCGAAGCGTGTTGTGATGCACGTGGGAACGCAGCACATGTGGGGGTTTATCAGGAAAATCGCTTTTCGGGATTGGAAAAGGTGGATTTTTGTTACGGTGGGTTGGGTCGGATGGCAAGCGATTTAAGAAATCCGACATATTTGGTGCATGTGGGAATGCAGCGCACATGGAAATTCCAGAGACAGTTTGCGAGCGGACAAGGGAAGCTCATACGTGGTCCCTGGCTTCCCTTGGGGGCAAGCCAGGGACCAAGGGAGTTGGGGGCAAGGCTCAACAAGGAGATAAAGGAGAGGAGAGCGGTTGGGCAGCCAAATGAGCCTAAGAATTCTTGGGTCGCAGTTGGGATTTTTTTTTTTATGAAATTTGCTTACCTGGGTTGAAGCGGAATATGTTGGTAATGGTGGTTCCAGCATCTAAACGCTTGCTGCTCTCACTACTGTCGCTGCTGCTGCTGCTGCTGCTGCTGCTGCTTCTGCTACCGCTGCTTCTGCTGTTGCTTCCAGGGTCAGCGGTGAGTGTAGTGCTGACATATCTGACATTTCTGCCGTATCTCTCACTCTCGCTGCTCCTCCCACTGAAAGCTCTGATTCCGACAGTGGCATTTCTGCCACTCCTGCTGTAACCAACATTGTTTTTCCCATTCCCAAACTCCTTCAAGAAATTGCTGCCAAGCTTGAAATGGCAAACCCGCGAAAGCTCTTCAGGTGCTTTATGAACCGGTTTTCGGCACAACGCATGAGGCGGCTTACAGACGTTAACGCGGCTGCTTGTAACGGAACTGCTTATGACGGAGTTATAGCTGTGGACGGCGGTGCGCATAGTGCGAATCCCAGGCACCACATACGCGTGAATTACGTTATGGGGGCTGGAATTCCTGAGCCTAACCACAGAAGCACTCATAACTGGATGGTATTGAGCATGGAGCGGTAAAGAAAGGTGGGAGGAGCGACCACTGAGCACACGACGCGGAAAGCTGGAGAAAGCCTGGTGGAGCAGAGCACCAGATGCCGCACGGATTTTCGAATGCGGGATTTCAACACGGTTTTCCGATGCGTGCTCTTCGGGCAACTCGGGTTTTTCCATCGCCTCGGCGCGATACTAGGTGCTTCGCGAATCGATTAGAAGAACTGGAAATGTGTATGGCAGGCTAGCTTGTACGGTATGTTTTTAAATGCTACATTTCAAACCTTATGATTGGCAATGAGGGTGAGAGCACATCAACGTGCTAAAATCTCCACATCCCCAATTATTGGGCCATGCTGTAATGCTTGACATTTGAGATAAGACGGTACTCTTTCCCACCAGTAAAACACAGCACAGCACACCCTTCTAGGCGCCTTAGAAATCGAGGCAAGGATTGTTGTTGACCCTTGAGAAAACAACTGCTTCCAGCTACTAGTAACAGCATGCTGCCCAAGAGACCAAGTATGCACTCAGGCCTTGATGGCCTTGCGGCGGCCAACGCGAGCCACGAAACCAGCCTTGATGGGTGCGACAGAACGATGCGAGCCACACTGATGGGAGTGGGGAGGAACAAGCAAGAAAGCAGGGTGAGTGAGAGGCGGTAAAGGGAAGTGAGGGGAAGGGATTTGGCTCAAACCAGCCTGCCGGACGAAACATGTGTGCAACGGAACGATGCGAACCACACTGCAGGAAGGGGAACAGGATTTCCATAAGGATTCGGGTCTATTTAACGTTTGTTACGTCTCAAGAGCTTATCCGGGACAAACTACACCAAACAGCAAGCCTACAGCAAAGATATAAAAGTGTACCTGTTCACATCGCAGGAAGAAGAGTCGGTTCTCCTTGGAGAGAATGGTGTCTGGTGACTTGCAGCCATTGCACAGCACATACTCATCTGGTGACAGGGTGCGGCAGTGGGAGAAAAAGGGTCAGGATTTGGGGGGTTGGAACAAGGGAGCAAGGAGGGAAGTGGGGAGACAGGACCTTGGGAGGAATGGAGCTAGGAATCCAGACAAGCATAATTTAAGAGAACAAATAGCTGAATTGGATCATCCCTTTCGGTATCTCTGCAAATAGCTAAATGGGAGGCTACAGCAGCACTTACTGACGTATCGCCTCAGAATGCCCTCAAAATTCTTGGGCGCGAAACGTCCCTTCACAATCAACCGCTGCTGCCCATCAAGAGACCCGCTGGTTCCCAGCTCAGCCAAGAGGAATGCCATCACGTGCTCCGGCTGCCGATGCATGCTGGGAAGGATTTAGGCGCGGTGAAGAGGGTTACAGAATTGTGAAAAGGGGTACAATAAGGTGAAAAGGTGTCAAGAATGGTGATGAAGGGGAGGTTTGAGACCTGCTGGTTCCCAGCTCCCCCTTTCGATGCATGCTGGGCAGTGTGTGTCAATGAAGAGATTTTTTAGGCGCCTAAATAATAACCTAAATAATAAGGACGGATTGACGATAACGACCAGCATATTAACAAAAGCACAAAAGGGGCCATAATGACGATGATGCATGCAGTAGGGGGCATTGAGAAAGACAAGGTGGCTGCGGGTTCGGGGGGGGGGGGGGGGGGGGGGGGGGGGGGGGGGGGGGGGGAGGGGAGGAGGGAGGGAGGGAAGGGGGGGTGGGAGGAGAGGAGGGAAGGGTGAGGCAGGGGGTTGGGTGTGGGGGGAGGGGGGAGGCACACAATGGTGTTGCATGTGATTGATACTCACGTTTTACAGAGGTCCATGAAGTTGGCGAAAACAGTCTTCTTGGTTCCTTCTCGCAGCACCTGCACGTGTGGGTGGGGAGATGGGGGATAATGGGAATGGGCATGGGGGCAAGAGGTTGCTCATGTGCGTTTTACAGAGGTCCATGAAGTTGGCGAAAACAGTCTTCTTGGTTCCTTCTCGCAGCACCTGCATGTGCAGGAGGGATGATGGAGACGACGGGGACGATGAGTACGAGCCGGGGCGAGCCGGGTCGATGGGGATCAGATGAGTGGTGAATGCCAGATGTCATTTTGTGCTACGTGTATGTGCGTGTGCACGCGGGAACATTTTGAGGCGCCTCAAAAGTCGATGAGTGGTGAATGCCAGATGTCATTTTGTGCTACGTGTATGTGCGTGTGCACGCGGGAACTGCACGTTCCTATAGGTGTGTGTAATGCATGCTGGTGTGTCATAGGCGTTGGGTGTGTGTGCATAAGCTTGGTGCATAAGTGGAGATCACATCACACCAGTGTGAGTTTGCTCTCACCAAAACAGAGGAGCTCCACTTAGGGCTGTATTACGCACCTGGGGAGGGCGCATGATGGTTCGGCGACGGTCTCCAGCCAGCTCAGGGTTGTTCTCCCTCAGGATGTTGAACACACGACCCAGCAGCTGTGAGTGGGCAGGGCAGGCATTAGAAACGGAAGGAGAACAGGGAAGAGAAGAGGAGCCAACTGGAATGGCGTGGCAGCACAAAATCTCTCAGGAAGCTCAGGGTTGATTCTTTTAAAAAAGGTTGAACGGACGGTTCACGAGCCGATGGTGGGGGCGTGGGAGGGGAGGGAGGGGGGCAAGGGAAGGACAGAACGGCAGACAGCTGGCAAGACATCCGTCCCAATTCTGAGAGTTTTTGAAAGCCAGCACGGCCTCCGTTCCAGTATGGCATTTACCCTGATACAGACCCTCCTGCAGCAGCTAGATCGAGGCCTCCGCGTGTGCCACTCCCGTTCCCATTCCCATCCTATTCCCATTCCCATTCCCATTCTAATCCCATTCCCATCCCACTCCCATTCCCATTCCCATTCCGACTCCCATTCCCACTCCCATTCCCACTCCCATTCCCACTCCCATTCCCACTCCCATTCCCACTCCCATTCCCACTCCCATTCCCACTCCCATTCCCAATCATATTCCCATACCACTTCCATTCCCAATCCCATCCCATTCTCATTCTCATTCGCACTCCATCCCACACTATCGGTCTCACCTCGTCCTCGCAACACCTTCACCCACCTCTTCATACTTGTAGTCCCGGTCCGTCCCCTCCCACGGAAGCCTCGTGGGACCTCCCAGCTCGATCCCCTCCGCCTCCTCGTCATCCTCCCCTTCCCCAGCGCCCTCCTCATCATCCTCCTCCTCGTCCTCCTCAGCGGCCTTGGCGTGTTCCTCCGCCTCCACCACCTCCTCCTCCGTGCGCTGCTTCGGCTTCTTCTTTTTCTTCTTCTCCAGCTTCAATTCCAGTCCTTCCCCTTCCTCTCCCGCCGGCCCCTCCTCTGCCGCCTCGTTCTCCTTCTCCCCGTCTGCGGCCTCCCCATCAGCCTGTAAACGCAGGAAAGGGAAAGAAAAATAAATAAAATGAGTTTCAAGCCTCCAACACCTCCTCCTCCGTGCGCTGCTTCGGCTTCTTCTATTTCTTCTTCTCCAGCTTCAGCTCCAACCCTTTCCCCTCCTCGCCCGCCGCTCCCTCCTCCGCCGCCTCGTTCTCCTTCTCCCCCTCTGCGGCCTCCCCGTCAGCCTGCAAAAACAGGAAGATGAATCACAAAAGCATGTGAACGAGGGATTTACCCCCTTCCCATGCTGCTGCTCCCTCTGGCACCGCTGTCTCCCTTCTCTCCGCCAGCTGTCGGTACTATCTCTGGCTCTTGAACATGCTCCAGAACACAGTTACAAAATCTTTACTACGTTGTTAGCCTCGGACTGACCGGAAGCATTTTCGTTTCCTGAGCCACTCCTGAGAATTCTAAAAAACGGACCTACCTGCGGCTTCTTTTTTTTCTTCTTCTTCGCACCGAAGTCCACAGGCTCAACGGAATCTTCCACTGCACTTGGGAAGAGGATCGGGAGAAAAAAAAAGAAGAAAAGGGGAGCAACGACAAGGAAGTACTGAAATCTTAGAAGAAATTAAAAAGTTCCAAGTATCGACAAGAACGTGACCAGAGGTGGAAAAGTACTCAAACAGAATAAATGACATAGATCGACGAACCAACGGGGGTCTCATGTTAATGATCTCAGTCGTACCGATCAGAACGTACCTGAACCGATCCTACCTGACAAGTCTTCGACCTTCGCGGCGACTTCTGCCACGTCAGCGGCTTCCTCTTCCGCGGACCGATCCTTCTTCTTTTTCTTCTTCTTCTTGCTTAGATCAAACGACCCGGCCTGAACCCGAGAAACGAAAGAAATGGACTACTTCAGCTTATTACGGAAACGCACACACACCAGTCGTTGGTTATCCAAAGTTTGATCGAACAACCCGACCTAATGTCAAACACAGATCGAGATAACGCCGATGGTACTTCTCTAGAATCGGAGAGCTGTCGGAAATGCGTTCATATGTGAGGACTAAAGGTAAAAACTAAGGAGGATTCACTCACGTCTGAGACGGTCGGAACATTTTCGTCGTCAGCCATGGCGTAACCCTAAATCAGCGAAATAACGACTTTCGAGATGCACGGAGAGTGTGCGTGAGAGTCGGATGAAGACCTCGGACCAGCTCAAATCCTGGACGAAGTATACCGAGACGAAGGAGCCGAGATCTGAAAAAAAATCTCCGGCGACGCAGGAGACACACTAGCGTTGGGTGACTCAGCACTCGTCGCGTACAAACGAGGCTTTGGGAAAAAACGGAAATCCCGAGAAGGGAATGGAGAAACCAGGAGAGTGGCTTGAGTGCAGATTGAAAGAGATGAAGGCAGAGGGAGGAAAGGGAGGGAAAGAAAGTGGTCAGAAAGATGTGAGGCAATCCCGAGGTTTGGGGTTAGGGCGAGCCATCAGCATATCACACTGTACCGTTGTGATTTCTTTAGAAACCGTATTGTAACGCTTCATGGTGTGGGAAAGATGGATTATCAATTCGCTTTTCACGGCCTCGATTGGCGCGACAGAGAAATTTGAATGTAGGCAAGCACTATATTGGGTCTATTCAGTATTCCTTGAACTCACTCTACACAATTAAGATGTATCATTCATATCGTTCCGTAATTTACCCCTTACGTAACGTTATTACCGAGGAGGGTAATACACGGGAATTCCGCATGGTCTGCCCCTTATGTGTTAGACCGCAGATAACCCCCAGACCTTGGTAATGCCTGCGCTTCCTTCCGTGGCATCCGGCGCATGAAAGGATTTATACCGATAGAGCAAGTCGGGAGACCTGACGGGAATTCTGACGGTACATTCGCGACGTCACTTCACAGGAGATTCACGGTCAGAACCGCCCGGAAACGCTAGTCACCGCACTGTAGGCTTTGTGACGAGCCATTCCCTGCCGCCACGGCGTGATTCACGCCGTCCACCCGCTGATCCGGACACACGTGGAAGGGGAGTAGACACGTGGAAAGAGGGATGTCCACGTAGACACGAGGGGTGTTCCCCGGTTGTGCGCCGCGTTGATCGCTTGATAGCCAGGTGTTGATCTGGAGCGAGTAATGGTAACGGTAACATGCTAGTGGTAACAGCAACACTCCAGCGGTAACGGCGACACTAGCGGCGACGGCAACACTAGCGGCAACGGGAATATCGAGGGATGCCTGCTCTTTCTCCGTATGCGAGGCGCGTTACCCGCTTGATAGTCCGACGCGACGCGCTGATGCTGATCTGGGAGAGCGGCGCGGCTGCTGTGCGGAGTAGTGGCAGCGTCAGCGTTAGCAGCAGCAGCAGATTAATTAGTACATTGAGTAGTAGCAGCGTCAGCATCAGCGTTAGTCCCGGTAATAGATTGAGTAGTACTAGCACCAAGAGCGGCGTTATTAGCCGTTTTAGCAGTAGCAACGGCAGGGTCAATACCAATTCTAGTGTCATCGTTAGCAGTGCTACCGTTAGTCGGTGCAGTATTGTCAATGGCAGCAGTGTCAATGGGAGCAGCATCGGTATGTCCAAGGTTTGTGCTTGCAGCAGCAACGGATTCATTGGCAGTGGATTCAGAATCGGCGCTAGCAGCAGCAGCGGTGGCTACAGCAGCAGCGGTAGCCGTCCCAGCAGCGGTAGCCGTCCCAGCAGCAGCATTGTATCGAATGTGACTAACACGAATGGCTTCTCTGGTAGTAGACCCAAGATCGGCGGTGGTACCAGCAGCACGAGGCTACTGTGCTGCTCTGCAATACGTGCTGAGTCAGCAACTGCTGCCGAGTCAGCTTCTGGTGCAGATTCAGCAGCTGCTGCCGAGTCAGCATCTGGTGCAGATTCAGCAGCTGCTGCCGAGTCAGCAGATGCGGTTGTGGGAAAGAAGAAGGCTTCAAAAGGAAGGAAGAAGGGAGAAGAGGAAGAGGAAGGCCGGGGAGAGAAGAAGGTGAAGAGCCCGAGGAGAAAGGCAGTGAGGAAGGATGAGAGTAAGAGTGAATCGGTACTGGGCGCTGCAACGCCAGCAGCAGCAGCAGAACCGGCAGAAACAGCAGCTCGAGCAGAAACAGCCAAAGCAGAGGAGGGTTTGGGAAAGGCAACGGGCAAGAGGACAAAGAGGAAGGCAGTGAGTAAGAAGGTTGAACCAGCAGGTGCAGTTGACGCAGCAACGCCTGGAACAGCAGCAGGAGCAGCAGAAGAAGCGGTTTCAGGAGCAGCAGCAGAGGAAACGGAAGCAGAAGTAAGCAGTAGGTCTCTCACTCACACTGCTCTGGGAGAGAATGCGGTTTATACCACTACTGCCGCCACCACTGCTGTTGGTGGTGCTAAACGTGCGAGCAGAAGGGAGGAGGTGGAGCGGTGGCTGGTGGTGGTGGAATCCCCCTCCAAAGCCCGCACAATTCAGGGTTACTTACAACATTTTGCCTCTGATCCTGAGCCACCTTTAAGCCTCGTTATAGCAGGCGCGGCAGAGGGAGTAACAGCAGGAGGAGACGTAGGGACAACAGGAGGAACAGGGGGAGTGAGGGGGAGAAAGAGGGAGTTTTCGGTGCTGGCGACGCATGGGCATGTGAGGGATGTGCCTAACAAGGTGGATGCTGTCTCGCCCGAAGCTGATTTTGCCATTGATTGGAGAATCTTGCCCCAGGCCGTGCCGCACTTCCGAGCCATTGCTCTAGCTGCGTTCAGGTGAGTGTTGGGAGGTTGGTCAACAGAAGTCAACTCAAGTCAACGCGACTCAACGCATGGGCATGTGAGGGATGTGCCTAACAAGGTGGATGCTGTCTCGCCCGAAGCTGATTTTGCCATTGATTGGAGAATCTTGCCCCAGGCCGTGCCGCACTTCCGAGCCATTGCTCTAGCTGCGTTCAGGTGAGTGTTGGGAGGTTGGTCAACAGAAGTCAACTCAAGTCAACGCGACTCAACGCATGGGCATGTGAGGGATGTGCCCAACAAGGTGGATGCTGTTTCTCCAGAGGCTGATTTCGCCATCGACTGGAGAATCCCGCCCCAGGCCGTGCCGCACTTCCGAGCCATTGCCCTTGCTGCATCCAGGTGAGTGTTGTGCATTGGGAATTGACTCCTCAGCCTCAGTCTCTTCCCTGAAGCTGATTTCGCCATCGACTGGAGAATCCTGCCCCAGCCCAGGCTGTGCCGCACTTCCGAACCATTGCTCTTGCTGCATTCAGGTATGTATTTCTGGAACTGAGTCCTCAGCTTGGTCACGTGTGGGATATGCCTGGCAAGCCGTTGTGCTTGCCACTGATGCGGACGGGGGGTGAAGTGATTGCCTGGCATGCACGTGTATCAGCTGCTTACGGGGGCTGCTTCTGCTGCTGCTGCTGCTGCTGCTGCTGCTGCTGCTGCTGGCGCTCTTCCCTCCTCTGCCTTCTCCTTCTCCCTCCTCCCTGTCAGTCACCATGAACCTGTGTCACAAGGAGTGGCATTGGCAGCAGTTGCGGACAGGGAAGGAAAAGCGATTGCATGGCATGTGTACCGACCACCTGCTTAATTTTTGAGGCGCCTCAAAAGTTGCGGACAGGGAAGGAAAAGCGATTGCATGGCATGTGTACCGACCACCTGCTTAATTTTTGAGGCGCCTCAAAAGTTGCGGACAGGGAAGGAAAAGCGATTGCATGGCATGTGTACCGACCACCTGCTTAATTTTTGAGGCGCCTCAAAAGTTGCGGACAGGGAAGGAAAAGCGATTGCATGGCATGTGTACCGACCACCTGCTTTTGAGGCGCCTCAAAAAGCGATTGCATGGCATGTGTACCGACCACCTGCTTGATTGTGGCTGCTGCTGCTTCTCCTGACTTTCTTCCCTGTTCTTCTCTCTCCCTCTGCAGGTCACAGGGAGTCGTGTTGGCTACAGATGCGGACAGGGAGGGGGAGGCGATTGCGTGGCACGTATACCAACTACTCAAGGGGGTTGGCTACTGCTGGTGGTGCTGGCATTGGCCGCTGGTGGTGCTGGCATTGGCCGGCCTCCTCTCTTCCCTCCTCATTTGCTCCTCCTTTCTTCTCTTCCTGCAGGTCCCAAGGCGTTGTGCTTGCTACAGACGCGGACAGGGAGGGGGAGGAGATCGCGTGGCACGTATACCAACTACTCAAGGGGTCTGCTGCGGCTGGTGCTGGCTCAGACCTCCCCTCTTCCCTCCTCATTTACCCCTCCTCTCCCGCTCTGCAGATCACAGGGAGTGGTATTGGCAACAGATGCGGACAGGGAGGGAGAGGCGATTGCGTGGCATGTATACCAACTGCTGAAGGGGGCTGCAGCGGCAAGGAGGAGAGCAGAGGTGCAGCAGAGGGAGAAGGAGCAGCGGAGAGAGCGGATGGTGCAACAGGTATTACTTGTGACGTAAATTAGTTCCATTATACCCATACAATTCCCTTCTTCTTTCCTCTCATGATTCGTTCACCCCTCATCCTGCACCCAATGTTCTTTCTCCTTTTTTTTTTTTTTTTTTTTTTTTACCTCGTTAATGTTTTGTTTCCTCCTCCCCTCGTGACACCAACAGGCTGTTCTTATAGAGCAGCAATTGGCAGCAGAGGCACAGGAGGCAGCAGAGGAGGGAGGAGGAGCGGCTCTACAAGGTGCGGAGGGGTGGGAGGAAGAATCCGATATCTTCTCCAGTGGAGCTGCTGCTGCAGAGTCGAGCCTCCCGAGTCCCGAAGCAGAAGGGTCGGAGGGCCTAGGAGGGCCGCCTATTGACGCTGGTGGTGGTGGTGGTCCGGGTGAGATGCAAGGAGAAGGGTTGAAGCAGCACGGCGGGGAGCATGGGGAGCATGGGGAGCGTGGTGAGCATGGGGAGCATGGTGAACAGCAGGAGGGGGAGCATGGGTGGTTGGAGGGGGAGGAGCTACTAGGGGAGGTGAGAAAGGAGCTGAAGGAAAGCAGCAGCAGCAGCAGCAGCAGCAGCAGCAGCAGCAGCAGCAGCAGAAGAAGCAGCAAAAGCAGCGATGCATCACTGTCAGAAACATCTTTATCACCATCCTCGTCACCAGAACTGACACAAGAAACGCCCTCACTGACGCTCTCGCCTCTCCTCTCTCCCTCTCAACCCCTCTCTCCATCCAACGATGAATGGCTCCTCCCAGCCGCCGGATCCAACGGCTGCGATCTCACCATCCACCGAGCCACCTTCCACGAGATTACCCCATCTGCTGTCCTCTCAGCCCTCTCCCACCCCCGCCTGCTCTCCCAACCCCTAGTCGACGCATACTTCGCCCGCAGGGTGCTAGATTTTCTCATGGGCTTTAACCTGTCGCCTGTGCTCTGGAGGAAGCTTCCTGGGTGCAAATCCGCAGGGCGTGTTCAGTCGGTGGCGTTGCGGTTCGTGTGCGAGAGAGAGGGCGAGGTGGCAGGGTTTAACGCGCAGGAGTACTGGACTGTTAGTGCCATGGTGCAAGCATGTCGCACCACCAAGGGTGCAGTGCTTGGAAGCTCGAAAGGGCTTCCAGAAAGGAAGCTGGCAGGGAGAGGCAGAGACGGAGGAGGAGGAGGAGGAAGAGGGGAAGGAGCAGGAGCAGGAGAGGGGAGCGATGCACCTCTGTCCTTCCCAGCTAGACTCACTCATCTTTTCGGGGAGCCTGTAGGAGGAGGAGCAGGAGCAGGAGCAGGAGCGAGACGAGCAAAAGAGGGGAAAGAAGTGAAAGAAGTGAAAGAAGCGAAACAAGGGAAAGAAGGAGAAGGAAAAGAAGCAGAAGCTGCAGAGGTTGAGGGTGGGATAAGGGACGGAGAGAGAGCACTGGCAGCAGCAATGCTGGTGGAGGGCAGTGAGCTGCAGGTGCAAGGCGTGCACCGCTCGCAGACCAGAAGGTCCCCTTCTCCCCCTTTCACTACATCGTCCATGCAACAGGAAGCATCCTCAAAACTGGGGTTCAGCCCCAGCAGAACCATGGCGGTGAGTGTGTGGTGGGGAGTCAGGGCTTGGCTTGGGAGTGAGTGTGTGGCTCTCTTCGCCTGAGTTACCTACCCACTCACTAAGTGAGTTTTGAGGCTGTCTCCTTTTTAGACGCGGCAGCAGCAGTACTGGTGGAGGGGAGTGAGCTGCAGGTGCAAGGAGTGCACTGCTCGCAGACAAGGCGCTCCCCCTCTCCCCCCTTCACCACATCTTCACTGCAGCAAGAGGCATCCTCGAAACTGGGGCTCAGCCCCAGCAGAACCATGTCGATGAGTGCTGTATGGTAACGGCCAATGGGTCACTTGCCCTGGTTTACCCCCGCCCCAGTTATTGGATTTCGCGGCTGTCTCGAAGGGTGATGGCGACAGCAGTGTTGGTGGAGGGCAGTGAGCTGCAGGTGCAAGGAGTGCATCGCTCGCAGACCAGACGGTCCCCCTCTCTCCTCTTCACCACGCAGTCCCCGCAACAGGACTGGCCCTGGTTCCAGAGGCTTCCCGAGTGCTGCAAGCAAAGGGAATCAATCCTCCTCGCTTCCTGCTTCACCAACCCTGATTTTCTCCCTGCTTGTCCACCCCCCGAACCCCTGATGCTTCCCGTCCCCCCATTCCAGGTAGCCCAGCGGCTATACGAGGGAGTGGCACTGGGCCCCGAAGCCTCTCGGGTGCTGCAAGGGAAGGGCGCGGGCGCCACTAAAGGGGCGGGGCGGAAGGGATCTGGCGGAGGAGGCATGGTGACTGGGCTGATCACGTACATGCGCACAGACAGCGTTCAGGTGAGGGGTGGAGAGGGGTGGTAAGAGGTGAGACATGGTGAGGCGTGGTGGTGGGGAGGAGGAGGAGGGGTGGTGACTGGGCTGATCACTTACATGCGAACAGACAGCGTTCAGGTCAGGGATGGGGAGGGGTGAGGGGTGGTAAGAGGTGAGGCGCGGTGACGCTCCCTGCTGCAGCAGAAATACAACAGCAAGCTCGTGTCTCCGTCTCATCGTGTGTTCCATCCAATCACTCTCTTTTTCCTCTCTTCTCCCCATCACCCTTCCAGGTTTCCCAAACGGCGGTGGCGTCTCTGCGCTCCCTTCTGCAGCAGAAATACGGCAGCAAACTCGTCTCTCCGTCGCCCCGCGTGTTTGCCTCCAAGGCGAGGAACGCCCAGGAGGCACATGAAGCAATCAGACCGACTCATCCACACCTGCTGCCAGGTAGGTGCAATGTGGTGTATATTCATCTTCTGTCTGTAATAGCCGCAGAGGTGGTATCTATCGGGTGTGTGGTCCCCATCACCCCGTGTGTGTGTTTGCCTCCAAGGCGAGGAACGCCCAGGAGGTACCAACCCACACCTGCTGCCCGGTAGGTACCATGTGGGGTGGGCGTTTTCTGGTGGACTCAGAGCCTCCGAGGTGGTGTCTCGTCCATCTGGTGTGTGTGGTCCCCATCACCCCGTGTGTTTGTTTGCCTCCAAGGCGAGGAACTCCCAGGAGGCACACGAGGCGATCAGACCGACTCATCCACACCTGCTGCCAGGTACTGTGTGGTGTGGTGTGGTGTGGTGTGGTGTGGGTAGGTGTTTTCCCGATGGACTCAGAGGTGGTACCTGTTCTCGTCTGGCGTGAAGACATGATTGCCCCGTGTGTTTGCCTCCAAGGCGAGGAACGCACAGGAGGCCCACGAGGCGATCAGACCGACTCACCCACACCTACTGTGAGGTAGGTAGTAGGCGTTTTCTGGCGTCTTCTACGTGTTCTGTCGTTTTCTGTCGTTTTCTGTCGTTTATTGGGGTACAATACGGGGTAGGTGTCTTCTCGAAACCCGTAACCTCCTTCCTCCCACCTTTCCCCTCGCAGCTTTGGTCTAACCCGACCCGTCGGAGGAGCAGTGGAAGCTCTATGCTCTCATCTGGGCCCGACTTAAAGGCTTTGTGTGTCCGTTCTGCCTGCTTGTGCTGCCTGCTTTCCTGTCCCCTAACCAGCTCTGGTCAAGCCCGACCTGTCGGAGGAGCAATGGAAGCTCTACGCTCTCGTCTGGGCCCGATTCGCAGCCTCTCAGATGGCAAACGCGGTCTACGACAGGGTGAGTGCACCAACTACCCTCTTTTTTAGAGGGTAGTTTCTAGTCCAGTCAGAAGTTGATTTACTCTGTGAGGCTGCCATCGCATCTCCTTTCCACCTTGATGACTTTGAGACGACTCAAAAGACCTTGTTTCTGCCGGTGGGGGGGAGGGGAGTGCCTGGTTGCCTCATAAGCAGCAACAGGTTCTGAGGCGCTTCAAAACTAGATTCTGCCACAATGACTGGGAGTTGACTCAAAACAGCTCCTCATTCCTCCCTCCTCCTCACCCTCTCCTTCCATCCCTCTCTCCCTCCACTCCCCTTCTGAGCTGCCTCATAAGCAGCAACAGGTTCTGAGGCGCTTCATAACTAGATTCTGCCACAATGACTGGGAGTTGACTCAAAACAGCTCCTCATTCCTCCCTCCTCACCCTCTCCTCCCATCCCTATCTCCCTCCACTCCCCTCCCCCCAAACAGGTAGCAGCAGTGGACATTGCAGCACACCCCCCTGATCCCTCCCTGATGTCTATTCCCGTTCACACGACATGCTTTATCATTCCACTCTCTCTTCTCACCACCCACAGGTAGCAGCAGTGGACATTGCAGCACACCCCCCTGATCCCTCCCTGATGTCTATTCCCGTTCACACGACATGCTTTATCATTCCACTCTCTCTTCTCACCACCCACAGGTAGCAGCAGTGGACATTGCAGCACACCCCCCTGATCCCTCCCTGCCCTCCGCCTTCCCATCTCAAGACCCTTCCGCTTCTCCCACTCCCCTATTTCACCCATCCCTCTTCTCCCTCATTCCTCCCACTCCCCCCCACCTCCCCCCAAACAGGTAGCAGCAGTGCAGTGGAGTGGACATTGCAGCACACCCCCCTGATCCCTCGCTGCCCTCCGCCTTCCTAACTCAAGACCCTTCTGGTTATCTTCTTCCATCCCTCTTCTCCCTCCATTCCCTCCCCACCCTCCCTCCCACCTCTCCCCACCACAGGTGGCAGTGGACATAGCAGCGTATCCCCTCGACCCCTCTCTCGGTCTTTCTCTCTCGACCCAGCCGCTCCTTCTGCCTCTCCTCCTTCCACTTCCTTGCCTCCCTACAACAGGTGGCAGTGGACATTGCAGCATACCCCCTCGACCCCTCTCTGCTCTCCGCCTTCCATTCTCAAGACCCTTCTGCTTATCTTATTCTCCCAACCCTCTTCTCCCTCCGTCCCCCTCCCCAACCCCCCCCCACCCACCACAGGTAGCAATGGACATTGCAGCATACCAACTCGACCCCTGTCTGCTGTCTATTCCTGTTCACACAACATGCTTTACCATTCCACTCTCTCTCTTCTCCCCCACACAGGTGGCAGTGGACATTGCAGCGTATCCCCTCGATCCCTCTCTGCTCTCCGCCTTCCCCTCACAAATCCCTTCTGATTCTGGAGCTTCCGCTCTCGACCCAGCTGCTCCTTCCGCCTCTCCTCCCGCTCTTCTACGAGCCAACGCCTTTGCAATCGCCTGGCCGGGCTTTCTCGCCGCATACAGTGTGAGTGGCCTGGTGTGAGTGGCCTGGTGTGAGTGGCCTGGTGTTTGAAGAAGTGTTTTGAGACGTCTCAAAACACTTCTGCAGTGTGAGTGGCCTGGGCTACTACTGTGGCTACTACTGTGGCTACTACTGTGGGCTACTACTGTGGGCTACTACTGTGGGCTACTACTGTGGGCTACTACTGTGGGCTACTACTGTGGGCTACTACTGTGGGCTACTACTGTGGCTACTACTGTGGCTACTACTGTGGCTACTACTGTGGCTACTACTGTGGCTACTACTGTGGCTACTACTGTGGGTACTACTGTGGCTACTACTGTGGCTACTACTGTGGGTACTACTGTGGCTACTACTGTGGGTACTACTGTGGCTACTACTGTGGGTACTGCTGTGGGTACTACTGTGGGTACTACTGTGGGCTACTACTGTGGGTACTACTGTGGGTACTACTGTGGGTACTACTGTGGGTACTACTGAATCTGGAGCTTCCGCTCTCGACCCAGCCGCTCCTTCTGCCCTCTCCTCCGGCTCTCCTACGAGCCAACGCCTTTGCCATCACCTGACCGGGCTTTCTCGCCGCATACAGTGTGAGTTGCTTCTCGCCGCATACAGTGTGAGTGGCTTCTCGCCTCTGAGTCTTCCTCTCTCAACCCGGCCGCCCCTTCTGGCTCTCCTCCGCCTCTCGCTGTTCAAGATAAAAGTGTTTTTTTTTTAGGCGTCCCAAAAAAATCACTTTTATCACGTCGCCACATACATTGTGAGTTGCTCATCGCTTCTCTTATTCTACTTGTGTTACTGCCTCACATTCTCCTACTCCTCCCACCCCTCCAGGATTCGAGGACGCTGGGCTACCTGTCCGACCTATCCGAAGGGATAACCACGGAACCGCCACCTGGCGATGCCATGTCAGCAGAGGCTGACAGCACAGCTGCCACGTCAGACGTGTTCCAAGAGATAATGGCCCTTCAGGTAAACATGACAGCTCACATTTGTGGGTCGAGTGCTTCTCTCTCTATTGTCTGTTCAGTATCACCTAGTGTAACAGCACAGCATTCTATTTTCCTTATTTTTGTGGGAACGTAGAGAAAGACCACCTAAGTCCCCCAGTGTCTCTGTAGGAACGTAGTGTGAGTCAACAACTGATTGACCACAGTGAATCAAGGGCGGAGGTACTCCCTCCCTCTCCCTTGCCCGCTTCGCATTCCTAACCTGCCAGCCTGGCGACAGGCTATTGGTCGAATCCGTGGATCCTAGTCAGCACTTCACGCGGCCCCCTCCGAGATACTCCGAAGCAGCTCTGGTAAGACCAAGAAAACTAGAGGTGGACTGCTATTTAGGATGCTTTGAAAATGTTGGGAGTTCAAGTTTTGAGGCGCCTCAAAACTAGGCTCTGGTAAGATCGAAAAAATCAGAAGTGGACTGCTAATTTTCTGGTGCTTTGAAAACTTCGGGAGCTCAATCTCACAATCTTCTTTCATCTAGGTGCCGCGTTGCGTTCATTACAACGGCCGACCTTACAAGTCACATGTATTTCGAGTCAGCTAAGCAACCTGCAGTGCACTGCAAAATGCCAACCTCAAATAGCCCTTCGCCCGACTCTCCACCAATATTCAAGAATCAAGAGTCAAGGCTAACTCGGAGGTGCCGCAAAACCCGTTCCAATGATTCTCCCACTTCCGAGTGACACTCAGCCTCCCACTCGGATGGTTTCCCACGTCCTTTTCAGATAAAGAAAATGGAGGCGGAGGGAATCGGCCGACCATCAACCTATGCTCCCACGCTCAAGACGCTGCTTGTGAGTTGTATTGTATCCACACATCGCACATCCATATATGCTCCCATGCACGCACGCATGCACGCGCACACATGCATCTGCGTGTGATGAGTCGATTTTCTAGTCGACTCATCGCACGCACAGTGCATCTGATCTGATGGAATAGTTTCTTCCCTCTAGTCGCAATGCGACTTTCTTCTGAACTCGAGGCACCTCAAAAGCAACCATCAACCTATGCCCCAACGCTCAAGATCCTCCTTGTACCTTACCAACCCCATTCACCCCCTTCCGTCCTTTTGAGTCGACTCAAAATCAGACTCAATTGCAAGCAATTATCCACCTATGTCCCAACGCTCAAGACCCTCCTTGTACCTTACCAACCACATTCCATCCCTTCCGTCCTTTCCGCCCTTCCCCTCCCCCTCCCTCCCTCCCTCCTCACCAGGAGCGCATGTACGTGGAGCTGGATTCTCGCAGATTGCATTTTGAGCTGCCTCAAAAGTCATCTTCCCCCTCCCCCTTCCCCTCCCTCCCTTCTCACCAGGAACGCAAGTATGTGGAGCTGGATTCTCGCAGATTACATCCTACAATAAGGGGACGGCTGGTGAGTGAGTGAGTGAGTGAGCAAGCGAGTGAGTGAGGTGCCCTGGAGATGAGTGGTTGGTGTGAGTGAAAGCACTCTGAAAAGACCACGTGATAAAAGTGATATTTTGAGACGTGTCAAAATATCACTTTTATCACGTGGTTGGTGGGAGTGAAAGCACTCTCAAAAGACCTGCCGCAGGCGGCTTTGGTGAGGTGGGGCATTTGTTTTTGAGTCGACTCAATAGTCTACTCAGTATAATGTCACACGGTGAGGTGGGACATTGGTGGATAATTGGTGCGACTTTTGAGAATTCGCAAAAGTCGCACCAATATAGCTTTGGTGAGGTGGGGCATTAGTGGATAGTTGCTTTTGATGTGCTTCAGATACAGATGGCGCAATATGGTCGAGCAGAAGAGACTGTGAGAATTCTGAATGATGGTTTCATTAAGGAACAAGGGAGTTTACATAGTTGAGAGGGATGAGTTGAGTTGGGGGCCTTGCCACAATTATTGACCCCCACCAATAAGTTGGGATCACCAATTATTGGAGGGGTCAATGATTGTGGTAGGGGGGGCACAATTACTGAACCTCCAATAATGGGGAACCCAATTATTGGGGGGTCACAATATTGGACCAAGGTTGGATTGACCCCAACCCCTCAACTAGGGCAAACCCTAGTTCTACACCCAAGATAACTTGGGTGCTTATATCTAACCAAGTCTTGCTAGTCTATGCATGATACGAAGAATAGGAGTGTCCTAACAGAGACGTAGTGTGTGCGTGCGTGTGTGTGTGTGAGCACGCGCGTGCGTGCGTGCGTGTGTGTGTGTGGAAGCACCTTCTCAAACCTGTAGCGATGTGTGTGTGTGTGTGTGTGTGGAAGCAGCTTCTCAAGCCTATATCGATGTGTGTGTGTGCTGCACGTCCATGCTGTTGCAGGCCAACGCGTTTCTCCTGTAGCCGTACGTGAATATGGGGTTCACTGCTCTTCTTGAATCCAGTGTTGATGATACCCGTGTTTGTGTCTGTCTGTCTGTCTGTCTGTCTGCCCCCCTTGTTGCCCAACCATGCTGCATGCATGCAGGCCAACGCGTTTCTCCTCCACTTCATGGAACCATACGTGAATGCGGGATTCACTGCCCAGCTCGAATCCAAGGTAATGCACAGTTGAGGCGAGACAGAGCACATACCTGCTTTGAGAACTGCCTGCCCTGGCCACACCATTACCTGCTCACAGCACTACCTCCACTCCTTTCTCCTCCACTTCATGGAACCATACGTGAATGCGGGATTCACTGCCCAGCTCGAATCCAAGGTACGCAATGAGATACACAAACAAATTAATGCATGCCTTCCCAGCTCGAATCCAAGGTATTGCACTGATGAGTGTTGCATTAGGGCACCACTACTTGCGTTGCCTTGCACTACCTTCCGCACTGCTGAGTCGACTCAAAAGTCATTTGGAGTCGACTCAAAAGTCATTTGGAGTCGACTCAAAAGTCATTTGGAGTCGACTCAAAAGTCATTTGGAGTCGACTCAAAAGTCATTTGGAGTCGACTCAAAAGTCATTTGGAGTCGACTCAAAAGTCATTAGGGCACCACTACTTGCGTTGCCTTGCACTACCTTCCGCACTGCCCGCAGCACCTATCGAGTTGTGCTCCTTGCCCACAGCACTACATGGAGCCATACGTGAAGTGAATGCTGCCTTTTGAGTCGACTCAAAAGTCACCCCGCAGCACCTACCAAGTTGTGCTCCTTGCCCACAGCGCTACATGGAGCCATACGTGAATGCTGCATCGAACCCGAGCCTGTTATCCTGCCATGCCACCCTCCCATTCGTTGCAGTTTGACGACGTGGCAGCAGGGGAGGAGGACTGGCGGCAGGTTCTCAGAAGCTTCTGGACCGACTTCCAACCGAGAGTGGAGGAAATGCACAAGCTGTCTCCGCAAGCGGTGAGTGTTGGAGAAGTGGCGAGAGGAGGGGAGAGGGGATTAGAGGAGAGGGAGAGTACTGCCAGTATTTGGTAGTAAGCTGAGAGTGGAAGAAATGCACAAGCTGTCTCCCCAAGCGGTGAGTGGTGGAGAGGCGAGAGGAGAGAAAAGTGGAGGCGTGTGGAAACAGCCCTTGTTCGGAAGCTGGCATGAACTGGCAGGGTGCATTGTGGAGGAAATGCACAAGCTGTCTCCACAAGCGGTGAGTGGTGGAGGGGCGAGAGGTGTAGGAGGGAGTTAGCAGGGGAGAGAGGAGGATACGGACTAAAACAACCAGTGTGAAATGTTTCGTGTTCAAGCAGTGTGATCGTGTGATGTGCCCACTTTTTTGGGTCGACTCAAAAACAGACTCGCACACTCAACGAAGGACCACTTGATGCGGGGGGTGAGGAGTAGGTACGTGGCAAGTGCTTTGCTGAACAGCTTACTCCCTGTGTAGTGAGTCTATTTTTGAGTTTTGAGACGTCTCAAAAGTCGTCTACTCCCTGTGTAGTGAGTCTATTTTTGAGTCGACTCAAAAATAGACTCACTACATGGCAAATGCTTTGTTGAACAGCTTACTCCCTTTCTTCCGGACCTTGTAACTCCTTTGGCAGGTCGACAGGTGATAAAAGTGAGTATTTGAGACGTCTCTCAAAAGCCCCCTTTTATCAGGTAGACTTTGAGGCACCTAAAAAACCTTTGCTGAACAGCTTACTCCCTTCCTTCCGTACCATGTAACTCCTTTGGCAGGTCGGTTCCGCGGTACAAGTCACCCTGGCAGATGGGTGGGCTGCTGGTGGAAGCAGCATAGTCCTACTCCTCCCAAGTGCTCCCAAGTGCCTGTCTCAAAGCCTACCCCCCATGCCTTACCCTCTGTATCGCCTCTGCCCTTACAGGTGGGGTCGGCAGTGCAGGTGACTCTGGGTGATGGGCTGCTGGTGGAAGCAGGACAGACCTACTCAAAAGTACTGGCCAAAGCGATTGCTGAACACTTCCTTGTTTACGTGCTCTCTTCCTGCCCGTGTCTGCCCGTACAGGTGGGGTCGGCAGTGCAGGTGACCCTGGGTGATGGGCTGCTGGTGGAAGCAGCAGAGACGTACTCTGAAGTACTGGCCAAAGCCCGCGCTCCTCCTCTTTCCGCCTCCTCCTCCTCCTCTGCCTCCTCTGCCTCCTTAGTCTCCCCTTCGTCAGAGCCATCAGCCCTTGCTGAAACGCATGTATCGTCACCATCATCACCAGCATCAACGTTGTCAACAGCCTCGCACTCCAAGACATGCCCAAGGTGCGAGAAGATTGAAATACAGTCGGCTAAAAAAATACATGTACCGTCACCATCACCACCAGCACCATCACCAGCATCGTCGTTGTCAACAGCCTCACACTCCAAGACATGCCCAAGGTGCGAAGTCTTTGAAATGACGATTTGAATCAGCGTAAAAAGCAGAGGTGTAAAAGAAACTCAAAACAGTGTAACACACACACTGGTATCCATGTGTACAAAGTGAGTTTTTGAGACGTCTCAAGAACTCACTTCTTACAATGTAACACACACTCGTATCCATGCTCATCGATGCTGCTCCCCTCTTTGCCAGCCAGCCTCTCCACCCTACACTAATGCTACCTCCCTTTCCTCTTGTCTGCGACAATACTAGATTCGACCCACACTTGTGCCACCTCCCTTTCCTCTGTGCAGAAGAACATATCCTCTTTGTTAAGGTGCAGTGAAAGGAACAGGCAAGTGAATGGTATTGTTATTTTTTCTCTCGCGCGCCTTCCCCCAGCTGTGGCAGAAACTAGTTTCAACACAGCTTTTCCAGTGAGGGCATGGCGTGGAGCTCTCAACTCCTCCGCACCCAACCTAACTTCTGAAAACACCCCACCACCCTTCTCAACTCCCCCCTCTCCCCTTCTTTCAGCTGTGACAGCGGCGAGTCCAGCCGGGAAGGGCCTCTTTGTCGTGTGCCTACACCATGCCTCACTCCCCATCCATCCCTTCCCCCATACACATGCTTCAAAACCACACAGCTGTGGCAGCGGAGAGCTGGAATACAACTTCTCAAGCCGAGGAGTGGGTCTCTTTGTGGGCTGCTCCGCCTATCCCACATGCCAGTCAGTGCCTTTTTTCGCTGTGCCTTTCCCACAGGCGGAGGATAGTGGCACTGACAGGCGGAGGATAGTGGCACTGACAGGCGGAGGATAGTGGCACTGACAGGCGGAGGATAGTGGCACTGACAGGCGGAGGATAGTGGCACTGACAGGCGGAGGATAGTGGCACTGACAGGCGGAGGATAGTGGCACTGACTGGCATGTGGAGGATAGTGGCACTGACTGGCATGTGGAGGATTGTGCATGAGAGCACAAACTCTGTGTAGAGTTTTGAGATGTCCCAAAACTCTTCTTTTTTCGCTGTGCTCTCATGCACAACAAACTCTGTGTAGAAAAAATAACCTTCGAAAATCCTCGAAGGTGCCGCTTCTTCTGTACTGAACCACTTTGTCAGCTGCTTTGTGATTCGGTCTATCTCCTCTGCTCTGTGATTCAGTCATCCTGCGCTGTTCTTATCACTCTATATGGCAAGCAAGCAACAAACCAACACCGCTTTTGAGACGTCAAGAGTTTTCTATGTGCTTTGCTCTTATCACTCTATGTGCTTTGCTTGGACCCATGCCCCCGCCTAATCTATGCGCGCAACTCACGTGTGCTCTCTTCTCTTTCATTTCTCTATACAGCAATGCGCCACTCATTATTTCCGCTTTCTTCTATCCCGCTTGAAGCTTTAAAGCCCGGGTGGTGGAGCAGGAGGGGAAGGCAGGAACTCTGGCTGTGGCAATCGACTATTGAGTGGAGTGAAGCGAACACTCGCCACTCTGTTTGATCGCACCCTTCCCTACCCTCCCCCGTCTGCAGCTTTAAAGCACGGGTGGTGGAGCAGGAGGGGAAGGCGGGTACTCTAGCAGTGGCCATCGACTTTTGAGTCGACTCCAAAGACAACTCACCACTCTTTTCGCTCCCTTTGATTGCTCACCCCCCTGCCTGCTGCAGCTTTAAAGCCCGAGTGGTGGAGCAGGAGGGGAAGGCGGGTACCCTAGCTGTGGCAATCGACCCAGTGGCACACATTATAGGGGAGGACCCAAGCACAGGGGCTAAGGTGAGAAGGGAAGAGGGGGGAGGGAGGGAATGGGAAGTGGGGGTGGGTGGATCATGGCTGTGGTGATCGACCCTGTGGCGCACATAATAGGGGAGGACCCCAGCACAGGGGCGAAGGTGAGAAGGGAAGAGGAGAGGGAGTTGAGAAGAAGGAAGGAAGGTGTGACGTGGGATGGGCGTTGGGAATGAGAGCACTCTGGCAGTGGCTATTGACCCAGTGGCGCACATAATAGGGGAGGACCCCAGCACAGGGGCCAAGGTGAGAAGGGAAGGGAAGAGGGATTTGACAGGGAACATACGGAGTGGGACGGTGAGAGTGGTGACTGCTCTCTAGCCGTGGCAATCGACCCTGTGGCGCACATAGTAGGGGAGGAGCTAAGCACAGGGGCCAAGGTGAGTAGCGATTGAATGAGTGGGATACCCTCTAGTACCCCTGCCTCACACACACACACAGTGCTTTGGCAGTGGCAGTCGACCCTGTGGCGCACATAGTAGGGGAGGAGCCAAGCACAGGGGCCAAGGTGAGTGGTGCGCCTTGTGAACACTCTTTGAAGCATGGGATGCATGGGATGGGCAATGGGACTGCCAGCTCTCTAGCAGTGGCAGTCGACCCTGTGGCGCACATAGTAGGGGAGGAGCCAAGCACAGGGGCCAAGGTGACTAGTGAGCCTTGTGAACACTCTTTGAAGCATGGGATGCATGGGATGGGCAATGGGACTGCCAGCTCTCTAGCAGTGGCAGTCGACCCTGTGGCGCACATAGTAGGGGAGGAGCCAAGCACAGGGGCCAAGGTGACTAGTGAGCCTTGTGAACACTCTTTGAAGCATGGGATGCATGGGATGGGCAATGGGACTGCCAGCTCTCTAGCAGTGGCAGTCGACCCTGTGGCGCACATAATAGGGGAGGACCCCAGCACAGGGGCCAAGGTGAGTGCTCTAGTGGGGGAAGGCTACTCTAGTGGTGGAGCAGGCGGCGAAGGCGTGCTCTCTGGCTGTGGCGATCGACCCCGTGGCACACATTATAGGGGAGGACCCAAGCACAGGGGCCAAGGTGAGTGCTTGGTGGGGGGAGGTGAGAAGGAAGATGGGAATGAGGGATTTCATGGGCAGTGGGGCTGACAGCACTGCACTTTAGCAGTGGGGCTAACAGCACTGCACTTTAGCAGTGGGGCTAACAGCACTGCACTTTAGCAGTGGGGCTGACAGCACTGCACTTTAGCAGTGGCATGGCTATCGACCCTGTGGCTCACAAACTAGGGGCGGATCCAAGCACAGGGGCTAAGGTGAGCTGTTGGGATGGGACATGGGATATATGGGAAGGGTGGGACTAGCAGAACTCTAGCAGTGGCATGGCAATCGGCCTTGTGGCGCACATACTAGGGGAGGGGCGGACCCAAGCTGGTTTTTGAAAAGTTTTGAGAATTGGTTTTTTGAGAATTGGTTTTTGAGAATTGGTTTTTGAGAATTGGTTTTTGAGAATTGGTTTTTGAGAATTGGTTTTTGAGAATTGGTTTTTGAGAATTGGTTTTTGAGAATTGGTTTTTGAGAATTGGTTTTTGAGAATTCTCAAAAAACAGCCTGTGGCGCACATACTAGGGGAGGGGCGGACCCAAGCACAGGGGCCAAGGCGAGTGTTTTGAGTTGAGAATCCCCACACCACTTGTGAAATAGCTCTCTCACACACACATGGTACGTACCCTAGCTGTGGGGATCGATCGACCCTGTGACACACATTGTAAGGGGGGACCCAAGCACATGGGCCAAGATGAGTAGCGATTGAGTGAGATGCCCTCAATTCAGATTTGCAATAACAGCAAACAGGGTTAGGTTTTGTGATCTCTTTGCTGTTCATGTCGCCTCTTCATCTCTCCATCTCCCCTCCATCTCCCCTTCATCTGCTCTTCATCTCCTCCTTTCCTGTCCTGACCACACAGATCTGGCTTAAAGTGGGTCCCTATGGCGCGTACGTCGAGCGATCGTCGTACGGCAAAGTCTCCAAAGTCAACCGAGCGTCCCTGCCGCCGGTAAGAACCTTACTACACCAGGTATCACCCACCCAAGCTTCAGGTATCGCACATAGATCTGGCTCAAAGTGGGTCCCTATGGTGCATACTTCGAGCGATCGTCATACGGCAAGGTCTCCAAAGTCAACAGAGCGTCCTTACCGCCAGTAAGAGCCTACCCCAGGTAACGCCTACCCTTCCTACTCCCCCATATGTTGAACGTTTGTCATACGGCAAGGTCTCCAAAGTCAACAGAGCGTCCTTGCCGCCAGTAAGAGCCTACTCAACCAACCTTCCCCAGATACCACCTCCTGAGCCTTCCCCTACCTGTCCCTCCCCCCTATGTTGAACGGTCGTCATACGGCAAGGTCTCCAAAGTCAACCGAGCCTCCCTGCCCCCGGTAAGTGCCTACCCAACCAACCTTTCCTTACCTGTCCTGCTCCCTCATATGCTGAACAATCGCCACACAGGAGGAGTCGTTTTTGAGGCGCCTCAAAAACTCCCTCATATGCTGAATAATCGCCACACAGCAGAGTGAGAGGCTCCCAGAGCCTCTCACAGAATAAACTCTCCAGAGCATCCTGTCGGAATAAGAACTTACAAAACACGGGAGTCTCCAGAGCATCCTGGCGGTCAGAGTATGCCAGAATATTCCACGCACCTTCTTATGAGCATGCCTCTCACTCTGCCTTCCCTGCCTGTCCTGTCCTATCCCCTCCTCTTTCTCCCAGGGCACGCATCCCGACTCGGTTGATCTTCCCAAGGCCCTTGAGCTTCTCGCATTTCCTCGGACCATCGTAAGTCTTGTTTGGGTCGCCTTGTGGAGTGCCTTTTGTTCAACACATCTCAAAACACACCCCCTTCCTTCACTGCACTGCCGCGGCTGCTCCCTCGCGTTGCAGGGATTTTTTAAGCATGCTAAAAAAATTCCTGCGGTCGCCTTGTGGGGTGCCTTTTGCTCAACATATCTCACAACACAACCCCCTTCCTTCACTGCACGGCCGTGGCTGCTCCCTCTGAAACAATCTTTCTCCTTGCCCTCCCTTCTCCCTTCCCTCAGGCCGTCGTGACTCTTCCTGAACCTCTTGCCTTTGTTTGAGTCGACTCAATAGCACAACACACCCCCTTCCTTCACTGCACGGCCGCGGCTGCTCCCTCTGAAACAATCTTTCTCCTTGCCCTCCCTCAGACCGTTGTGACTCTTCCTGTTTGAACTTCTCTGTTTTTTAGTCGACCTTTTTTAAAATGTTTTTTCTCTGTTTTTGAGTCGACTCAAAAACTTCTCCTTGCCCTCCCTCAGGCCGACGTGAACTTCTTGCCTTCTTACTCTCTAAATCGCTTCTTTCTCATCCCACTCAACGTGTGCTTTTACTTTGAGGCGCCTCCAAATACTTCTCCTTGCCCTCCCTCAGACAGACGTGAACTTCTTGCTTTCTTACTCTCTAACTAAATCGCTTCTTTCTCATCCCACTCAACGAGCTGGTTTTTGAGAATTCTCCAAAACTCAGGCCGACGTGAACTTCTGGCCTTCTTACTCACTAAATCGCTTCTTTCTCATCCCACTCAACGTGTGCTTTTACCCTCTCTCCTTCTTTCCTGCACATTCACATACACAGGGGCCACACCCAGAGGGGGGAACCGTGCTTCTCTGCAACGGTCCCTTTGGCTTTTACGTGGAGCATGATTACCCCGGAATCGGGCTCATCAGAGCATCTCTGGGCACGGTGAGAGAGAGACCTGCTTGCTGTAACAGCGTTTACCTTGTACTGTTCTGCTCTGCAACGGTACCTTTGGCTTCTGTGTAGAGCATGATTACCCCGGAATTGGGCTCATCAGAGCTTCATTAGGCACGGTGAGAGAAATAGTTACTTACCATGTACTGTGATTCCATGATGCCTCCTTTTGCTTCTGTGTGGAGCATGATCACCCCGGAATCGGCGTGTGATGAGTCGACTATTTAGTCGAGTCAAAAATCGACTCATCAGAGCAACATTGGGCACGGTGAGAGAAAGAGTTACTTACCATGTACTGTGATTCCATGATGGCTCCTTTTGCTTCTATGTGGAGCATGATCACCCCAGCATCGGGCTCATCAGAGCATCATTGGGCACGGTGAGAGAAAGAGTTACTTACCATGTACTGTGATTCCATGATGGCTCCTTTTGCTTCTATGTGGAGCATGATCACCCCAGCATCGGGCTCATCAGAGCATCTCTGGGCACGGTGAGAGAGAGACTTGCTTGCTGTAACGGCGTTTACCATGTACTGTGCTGCTCTGCAACGGTCCCTTCGGCTTTTATGCTGAGATCACTCTATACCCTCACTCCCAATCTCTCTTCTCCCGTTTTTTTAGTCGACTCAAAACGAGGTGACTTTTGAGTCGACTCAAAAGCTGCTGCGAGGAGGAAGGGATGCTGAGATCAATCTATACCCTCACACCCAACCTCTCATCTCCCGTTTTTCTTCCCTCCCTCCCTTCGTCACCAGAACGTGAGTATCGACGATGTGACTCTAGAGAGTGCAATCGAGCGTTTACAGGTGAAGCAGGCACGGGCAGAGAGGGCAGCTGCAAAGAAGGCTGCTAAGGCTGCAAAGGCAGGCTGCTGAGACCACTCCATACCCTCACACACTCAAGCTCCCTCCTTCCCTTCTTCCCATCCCCTTCTCTCTCTCTTCTTTCTTTCCGCCCTTTTCCCCCCTTCTTCCCTTCTCTCTTTCCTTCCCTCCCTCTCTTCCTCCCTGCCACCCTCACCAGAACGTGAGTATAGACGATGTGACTCTAGAGAGCGCCATCGAGCGCTTACAGGTGAAGCAGGCACGGGCAGAGAGGGCCGCTGCAAAGAAGGCTGCCAAGGCTGCAAAGACGGGCAAGGGGAGCAAGGCGGGCTCAGCAGAAACAAGCACAGAGGCTGGGAAAGTGGGAGAGAAAGAGGCGACCAAAGAGGCGAGAAAAAGAGCAAGCAAAGAGGCGGGTAAAAAGGCGAGCAAGAATGCAGGTAAGGACAAGAAGGGAGAGCTGTTGCAGCAGGAGGAGGTGAAAGGAGACGGGATGGGAGCTGGTGGCGCAGGGACAGGAGGGAAGGCAGTGAGAGTGAAAAAGGGCAAGGAGGCGGAGGAGAGGGAGGGGAGGGGGGGAACGGCTCAAGAGTTTACACGTGAGGAGCAGCAGGAACGGAGAGGAAGCAAGGGAGGAGCAGAGGTTGCACGGCGGAACCGACTTCCTAGAAGGCCGTCGGAACAGCTGAAGGAGATCATTGGGAAGGAGGTAAGAGGTATTGATTCGGGTTGAAATCGGTTGAGAACGGTTGAAGAGGGTTGATAATGGAGCTTGCTCGTCCGAACCGGCTTTTTAGAAGGCCGTCGGAACAGCTGAAGTAGATCATTGGAAAGGAGGTGAGCGGGGGGTTGAGAACAGTAGAGTGTGGTCGAGAATGGCTTCCCCAGCGGAACCGGCTTCCAAGAAGGCCGTCAGAACAGCTGAAGGACATCATTGGGAAGGAGGTGAGTGAGGGTTGAGAACGGAACGAAACGGTTAAGCAGGAGCAGTGGAATAAATCTAGCGATTGAGAGGACGCATGGAGGAGCAGAGCTTTGAGGAGCAGCTGACTTATTAAAGCGACTCAAAATCGAACGTGCAAGCTCTGCTCCTCCACGCATGGAGGAGCAGAGCTTGGAGTCGACTCAAAACGTTCGCTTTTGAGTCGACTCAAGAGGAGCAGAGCTTGCACGTTCGCTTTTGAGTTGACTCAAGAGGAGCAGAGCTTGCACGTTCGCTTTTGAGTTGACTCAAGAGGAGCAGAGCTTGCACGTTCGCTTTTGAGTCGACTCAAGAGGAGCAGAGCTTGCACGTTCATAACGACTTTCTTTTGAGTCGACTCAAAAGTCGACTCGAAAGTCGACTCAAGAGGAGCAGAGATTGCATGTTCGCTTTTGAGTCGACTCAAGAGGAGCAGAGCTTGCATGTTCTTAGCGGCTTTCTTTTTAATTGACTCAAGAGTCGACTCAAGAGGAGCAGATATTGCATGTTCTTAGCGGCTTTGCAGACGGAGGCGAGTGTGGATTAACTAACAGTTGGGAATAGCTGAAGGGGCTAATCGGGAAGCAGGTCTGTGTGGTGTGGATAAAGAGCGGTTGAAAATTGTTGAGAGCAGTTAAGAATGGTTGAGAATAGTGCTGAAACATGGTCGTGAGAGAAGAAATTTTTCAGGATTCCTAACAGCAAGCTGAGGTAAAAAACTCCTCACTTACCTCTCCTCCACTCCCCTTCCTTCCTGAAACTCTCCCCCATCCCACAGCACGAGCAACTGAGCATATTCGAAGCAGCACGGCTAGTGTGGGACTTTGTGAAAGCCAATAATCTCAAGACCGGAAAAAACACAGCAGCGTTTGACGAGAGGCTAAGGGAGCTCTTTGGAGTTGACGAGGCGCATTCCACCAAAGTGCCAGGGCTGCTGCTGCCGCACATGCAGGAAGTTGCTGAAGCGGGGAAGGAAGCTTCTGAAGTGGGGAGGGAAGCTTCTCTAGTGAGGAAGGAAGCTTCTGAAGTGGGAAAGGAAGTTGCTCAGGCTGAAGAGGGATCTGGAAAGGAGGGAGAATCGGCCAGGGAAGGAGGGAAGGAGCGTGGTCAAGAAACAAGCAAGCTGAAAGGGCCTAGAAAGCAAGAAAGCAAGGCAGTTGGGAGGAGCAAGGTGACAACAGATGTGGAGGCTGGAGAAGAGGCTGGAAAGGAGGGAAAAGCGGCCAGGGAAAGAGGGGAGGAGGACCAGGAGCGAGGGGATACTGAGGAGGGGGAGAGGGGGAAGGGGGAGACAGCTCAAGAGGTCAAGCTTCGGCCGGAGCAGCAGCGCATGAAAGTTCTGGCAAGCCTTGGAGGAGCAGAGATTGCACGGAGGAACCGGCTTCCCAGAAGGCCATCGGAACAGCTGAAGGAGATCATTGGGAAGGAGGTGAGTGCGGGTTGAGAACGGTTGAGAGTGGTTGAGAGATTGCACGGAGGAACCGGCTTCCCAGGAGGCCATCGGAACAGATGAAAGAGGTGAGAGAGTTTGTAGTGTGGGCTGAGAACGGTTGAGAAGGGTTGGGGAGGAGGTGAGAATGGTCGAGAACCAGAGGGCGTAAAGGAGGAGCAGAGCTTGCACGGAGGAACCTGCTTCCTAGAAGGCCATCGGAACAGCTAAACGAGGTTATTGGGAAAGAGGTGAGTGAGATTAATTTGGAAAGATAACGGTCAAGAGCGGTTAAGAGCGGTCGAGAACTGGAAGGCACAAAGGAGGAGCGGAGCTGCACGGCGGAACCTGCTTTCCAGAAGGCCATCGGAACAGCTAAAGGAGATCGTTGGGAAGGAGGTAAGAGGGATTGATTCGGGTTGAAATCGGTTGAGAACGGTTGAAGAGGGTTGATAATGGAGCTGCACTGCGGAACCTGCTTTCCAAAAGGCCGTCGGAACAGCTAAATGAGATCGTTGGGAAGGAGGTGAGCGTGCGTTGAGAACGGTTGAGAGTGGTTGAGATGGGTTGGTGAGTAGGAGCAGTGCAACAAGGAAGCCAGGGATGGAAGCCAAGGAGGAGCAGAGCTTGCACGGCGGAACCGCCTTCCCAGGAGGCCATTGGAACAGCTACAAGAGATCATTGGGAAGGAGGTGAGAGAGATTGAGTTGGGTTGAGAACGGTAGAGTGTGGTTGAGAATGGCTTCCCCAGCAGAACCGCCTTCCCAGGAGGCCATTGGAACAGCTACAGGAGATCATTGGGAAGGAGGTGAGTGAGATTGATCTGGGTTGAAAACGGTTGAGAATGGTAGAGGACTGACTTTCCTCCCCTCCCCTCCCTGTGCAACTTGCCTCATTCCCTCTCTCCCCTCCCCTCCCCCTCCCCTCCCCACTCCCCTCTCCCCTCCCCACCCCCTCCCCTCCCCACTCCCCTCTCCCCTCCCCACCCCCTCCCCTCCCCACTCCCCTCTCCCCTCCTCACCCCCTCCCCTCCCCACTCCCCTCTCCCCTCCCCTCCCCTCCCACAGCACGAGCAGCTGAGCATATTCGAAGCAACACGGCTAGTGTGGGACTATGTGAAAGCACACAACCTCAAGACGGGAAGCCGCACAGCAGCCTTTGACGACAAGCTGAGGGCCCTCTTTGGGGTTGACTCGGCGCATTCCACTAAAGTGCCGGGGCTGCTGCTGCCGCACATGAAGGAAGTTGAGAGCTCTGACGGTGCTCTGATTGCTGAAAGCCCTGATGGGGCTCCCTTTGGGGTTGACGGGGCACATTCCACGAAAGTGCCGGGGCTGCTGCTACCACACATGCAGGAAGTTGCTGAAGCGGGGAGGAAAGTTTCTCAAGTGGTGAAGGAAGCTTCTGAAGTGGGGAGGGAAGCTGCTCACGTGGGGAAGAAAGCTTCCAAAGTGGGAAAGGAAGCTTCTGAAGCGGGGAAGGAAGCTGCTCAAGTGGTGAAGGAAGCTTCTCAAGTAGGGAAGGAAGCTTCTCAAGTGGAAAAGGAAGCTTCTAAACTGGGCAAGGAAGCTGCTAAAGTAGGGAAACAGAGCAATTATGTCAGAGCAAGCAAGGGAGGATCGGAGCTTATTCGTCTGAAGCAGCTTCCCAGAAGGCCGTCTGAGCAACTGAAGGAGATCATTGGGAAGGAGGTGAGTGAATTTTAATTAGGTTGAAAACGGTTGAGGAGGGTTGATTAAGGAGCTTGCACAGCGGAAGCAGCTTCCCAGAAGGCAGTCTGAGCAACTGAAGGAGATCATCGGGAAGGAGGTGAATGGGTGTTGTTTGGGTTAAGAACGATTCAAAGCAGTTGAAAATGGTTGGTATGTGTGGAATATAGGAATTGGTAAGGAAACCTTTATTAGGCGAGGAAGCAACTGAGCTGGTGCGTCTGACCCGGCCTTCTCAGACGGGCTTCTGGGAAGGCCGCTTCCTAGACAGCCATCCGAGCAACTGAAAGAGATCATTGGGAAGGAGAGTGAGAGCAGTTTGGGTGGAGAATGGTTGGGAACGGTTGAGATCGTTTGAGATCGGTTGAACATGGTTGGTACCAAATTCTAGGAATTTCAAGGATGCAAGGGAGCAACTGGAGTTCTCCCCATCTCTTTTCCCCCTCTCCCCTCCTCTCCAGACCTCCCCTCCTACAAGGTGACTTTTGAGTCGACTCAAAAGTCACCTCGGAGCAACTGGAGTTCTCCCCATCTCTTTTCCCCCTCTCCCCTCCTCTCCAGACCTCCCCTCCTACAGCGCGAGCACCTGAGCATCCTTGAAGCAACAAGCCTCGTGTAAAACTACATCAAGGCCAACAACCTTCAAGCCGGACCCAACTCAGCAGCGTTTGACGACAAGCTGAGGCTTCCCTGTGCTACTTGCCTCCCTCCCTCCCTCCCTCCCTCCCTCCCTCCCTCCCTCCCTCCCTCCCTCCCTCCCTCCCTCCCTCCCTCCCTCCCTCCCTCCCTCCCTCCCTCCCTCCCTCCCTCCCTCCCTCCCTCCCCTCCCTCCCCTTCCATATCCTCACAGCACGAGCAGCTGAGCATCCTCGAAGCAACGACCCTTGTGTGGAACTACATTAAAGCCAACAACCTTCAGGCTGGACCCAACTCAGCAGCCTTTGATGACAAGCTGAGAACCCTCTTTGGGGTTGATGAGGCTCATTTCTTTGGCCTCCAAAAGCTTGTATCGCAGCATATGCAGATTGTTGGTAGTGAGGGGAACAGGTCTAAGCAGGACTCAGCAGGGCAGGACTCAGCAGGAAAAGGAAGAGGAGCAGCAAAAAAAACAGCAAGAGTAGCAGGGGCAGGAACAGGGGCAGCAGAAGCAGCGGGAGCAGCAGGAGCAGTGGGAGGAGCAGGAGAAGTGGGAGCAGCAGGAGCAATGGGAGCAGCAGGAGCAGTGGGAGCAGCAGGAGCAGTGGGAGCAGGTCGAGCAGCAAAACAAAAAGGAGCAACAGTGAAGGCCACAGCAGGAGGTGATGGAAAGGAGGCTGGTAGTAGCTCAGGGAAAGGAGAGGCCCCTGCTAGACAACCATCCCCAATGCTCAAGCAGTTTCTGGGACTTGAGGTGAGGACAGAGGACCCGAGGGGAAGGAATGGAGCTAGAAGGTTTGACGTGGATGCATGCCGTACATTTCATCCATCATCACTCTCTATGTGCACCCGTTCGTCATCCATCCATCCTTCCATCCATCCATCCATCTATCCATCCATCCATCCATCCATCCATCCATCCATCCATCCATCCATCCATCCATCCATCCATCCATCCATCCATCCATCCATCCATCCATCCATCCATCCATCCATCCATCCATCCATCCATCCATCCATCCATCCATCCATCCATCCATCCATCCATCCATCCATCCATCCATCCATCCATCCATCCATCCATCCATCCATCCATCCATCCATCCATCCATCCATCCATCCATCCATCCATCCATCCATCCATCCATCCATTCATCCATCATTCATCCATCGTCACTCTCTATGTGCTCCCATCCATCATCCATCCATCCATCATCCATCAATTTATCTGCCCTACAATCTGATCCATCCATCATCCATATACGGTACCCCCTCCCTCTACTTTTCCTGTAGCGTGACAGCATAACTCTCAAGGAGGCGGGTCAGCAGGTGTGGCAGCGAATTAAGGAGCAGGGGGAGAAGGTGGAGGGAGGAGGGCGGCTGGCTCAATACAGAGTGGATGGAGAACTGCAAGAGTTGCTGGGTGTAGAAGTTGTAACATCCTTAGGTCTATACAACCTACTAAAAAAACATTTGAAATAGCGTTATACGTTGTATTCAGTATGTTGCTAAAAAGTACCGTACCGTAAGGTTATCGAAGAGATCTGACAGCGAATATGTTATGGTTTCCTATACAGGGCTTTACATAGAAAGTATCACAACCACTTCAACAACCCAAAAGCTGGGTCTAGCAAATACTATAAATACACCAGAAAATCTTGTATCATAGCAGGAACTGGGCCTGTGGCTGACCAATCATATGCAGCCATGCGTCAGACCCGGAACCATCTATACTCCCTCCTGCTTCTCCGTCTTTCACGCCCCATATGCTGGAGTTTTGCGCAACAATAAGAGTCAAGGCAGGTCGTACAGCGCGGAAAGCATGGGAACTTGGGAAGGGAGCCGAGGATGTAAGGCAGGACGGATCTCAGAGAGATCGCCTCTCGTTTCTGACACCTGGTCTTTGCTGCTGAGTAAATCATGAGTGAGGATGTAATGTAAGGCTGAGTAGAGCCTATGAGTGAGGCTGAGTAGATTCTGAGTGAGGCTGAGTAATCTCTACGAGTGAAATCTGAGTGATGGACTGCGGACATTGCCAGGGAGAATTTGTATGAATATGTTCTCTTGCTGCGCAATTTCTGCTCAACTCCTTTGTCAACCAGCAGTCATTAGCCCCAAGAAAGAGAATTTGGAAGGAGAGTTCACAGTAGTTACCGGTAACTAAGCATTTACCAGTAACTAAGCATTTACCGGTAACTATCGTGAACGGCCAGAGCAGCACGGCCAGAGGGGTCAATGTTCCCTTGCCATTGCCAGGCAGCATCCAATGCTGCACCTGCTGCCATGCTAAGTTGACTCTTGAGTCGACTCAAACTGCATCCTCGTTATAAGCAGCAGCATGCACGCCCAGAGCAGCACGGCCAGAGGGGTCCATGCTGTCTAGCCAGGCAGCATCCCACGCTGCACCTGCCACTTACGTCCTTTGCCCCAACCAACCCTCCTACCTTTGGAAGCTATGGACCTCGGGTTTCAAAAGCAGCAGCATGCACACCCAGAGCAGCACGGCCAGAGGGGTCCAGGTTGTCCCGCCAGGCAGCATCCCATGCTGCACCTGCCGCCGTGCTACAGGCAACACTGGGACCTGCAGGGACAGTCAGACGAGCAGAGCGCTGTAGCAGAAAGGAGGAGAGAAGTGGGGATGGGAGAAAGGGGGAAGGGAGGGAGTTTAGGCGCTATGGCCGCTGCCGTGCTACAGGCGACACTGGGACCTCCAGGGACAGTCAGACGAGCAGAGCGCTGTAGCAGAAAGGAGGAGAGAAGTGGGGATGGGAGAAAGGGGGAAGGGAGGTAGTTTAGGCGCTATGGCCGCTGCCGTGCTACAGGCGACACTGGGACCTCCAGGGACAGTCAGACGAGCAGAGCGCTGTAGCAGAAAGGGAGACGAAAGGAGGGGTGGGGGGAAGGGGGAGCAAGAATGATTAGAAAATTTCTGCAAGGCAGCATCCCACGCTACACCTGCCGCCGTGCTACGGGCGACGCTGGGACCTCCAGGGACAGTCAGACGAGCAGAGCGCAGTAGCAGAAAGGAGGAGAGAAGTGGGGATGGGAGAAAGGGGGAAGGGAGGTAGTTTAGGCGCTATGGCCACTGCCGTGCTACAGGCGACACTGGGACCTCCAGGGACAGTCAGACGAGCAGAGCGCTGTAGCAGAAAGGGAGACGAAAGGAGGGGTGGGGGGAAGGGGGAGCGAGAATGATTAGAAAAATTCTGCAAGGCAGCATCCCACGCTACACCTGCCGCCGTGCTACGGCGACGCTGGGACCTCCAGGGACAGTCAGACAAGCAGAGCGCTGTAGCAGAAAGGGGGAGAGAAGTGGGGATGGGAGAAAGGGGGAAGGGAGGGAGTTTAGGCGCTACAGCGACTGCTGTGCTACAGGCGTTGCAGGAGCCTCCAGGGACAGTCACTTCTGTATGTGAAGCCTCACCTGTGGGAAGTGCCTTTCAAAGATGCGCCTCCTTGGTCTGGGGCGGGTTGTATGTGAAGAGGTGTGAAGAGGAGTGGAGAGGTTTGAAGAGCCTCACCTGTGGGAAGTGCCTTTCAAAGATGCGCCTCCTTGGTCTGGGGCGGGTTGTATGTGAAGAGGTGTGAAGAGGAGTGGAGAGGTTTGAAGAGCCTCACCTGTGGGAAGTGCCTTTCAAAGATGCGCCGGTAGAACAGCGCCTCCTTGGTCTTGGGCGGGTTGTATGTGAAGAGGTGTGAAGAGGAGTGGAGAGGTTTGAAGAGCCTCACCTGTGGGAAGTGCCTTTCAAAGATGCGCCGGTAGAACAGCGCCTCCTTGGTCTTGGGCGGGTTGTATGTGAAGGGGTTAGGAGCGGTGTGAAGAGGCGTGGGAAACAGGCAAGTACAGGAAAAACCCTCACACATACCTGTGGCTTTTGAGTCGACTCAAAAGTCACCAGGCAACTACAGGAAAACCCTCATACATACCTGTGGAAAGTGCTTTTCAAATATGCGGCGGTAGAACAGCGCCTCCTTGGTCTTGGTCGGGAGGTATGTGAAGAGGAGTGGAGAGGTTTGAAGAGCCTCAGCTGTGGGAAGTGCTTTTCAAAGATGCGCCGGTAAACCAGCGCTTCTTTCGTCTTAGGCGGGAGGTACATGAAGAGGTCAGAAGCGTTGGCCATCATTTGGTCCGACACCATACGCTCTGCATGCGCACTGAGAGAGCGGAGAGCAGAGGACTGGCGGAGGCCCTCACACACCTGGGGGGGGGGGGGGTATGTATCCCTGTATGTGAAGAGTCTCACCTGGGGGAAGTGCTTCTCAAAGATGCGGCGGTAAAAGAGCGCCTCCTAAGTCTGGGGCGGGAGGTACGTGAAGACGTTGGGAGCGTTGGCCATCACCTGGTCCGACACCATCCGCTCTGCATGCGCCTTGAGCCCGTCTATCCAGCTGTACCCCACCCCATCGGAAAACTGCTCCTTTTGGCGGTAGAGGATGTGCTGATAAGGGGGATAGGTTGGGAGTAAGGGAAGAAAAAGGAAACGGAGGAGGTGAGAGCAGAAGAGGAGGGGAGAAGGTGTTGAGAAGAAGGGGAGAGAAGAGACTTGGATCAAAAGAGTGAAACAGAAGAGATGTATCTTCTGTTAAAGCTTGCCAAAAAAAAAAAAAAAAAAAAAAAAGCAAACAAAGGAAAAAACAAAACAAAACAAAAACGAAATCGACCTATTTCAGAGCCTAACTCAAAAATCTCTTATCTTTCAGTCCGACTCATTAGTTACCTTGGGTAGGTAAGGCCTCTCCTCGTCGTCAAAAGCCCGTCAAATGACCCACTTCCCAATGCGCCTGTCCCTTTTGCGAATCATCTTATACTGAGGATCAATGCTCATTGCCACGTCAAGGGACTCCTTATCCAGAAAGGGTACCCGCACCTCCAGCCCCCATGCTGACGTGGCCTTCTTGGCCCTCACGCAATCATACATGTGAAGTGCCTTGAGCTGATTGGAGGGATGGTGTTGGGGTGAGAGAGGATCGGGTCAGGGCAAGGGTAAGAGGGAGAGTGTTGAAGGGATGATTGGAGGATGGGGATAAAGTTGGGGTGGGGGTGAGGGTGGGGTGCAGGAGGGTGGGGTGGGGGTGGAGTGGGGTGCAGGAGGGTGGGGTGGGGGTGAGGGTGGGGTCCAGGAGGGTGGAAAGAGGGGAGAGGGGTGAAGGCAATCGTACATATGGAGAGCCTGAGCTGATTAGAGGGATGGGGTTGGGTTGAGAACGGTGAAGGGATGGAGAGTATTTTGGCGGTTGGTTTGAGCACGGGAACAGACAATGGATAAAGTGTGAAATAAAGGGAGAAGGAAATGGGTCGACACACAGAGGCACACACAGAGGCACACACACACACAGTCCCACACACACAGTCCCACACACACAGTCCCAGACACACAGTCCCATACACACAGTCCCACACACAGTCCCACACACCGTCCCACACACAGTCCCACACACAGTCCCACACACACCCGCACATTTTCCCCCACCTTATGACATGTCTCCCGGTGAAAGTCCTCCTTGCTGGGCGCCTTGTGAAAGTACAGGTAACCCCCAAACACCTCGTCGCTACCTTCCCCAGATAGCACCATCTTCACCCCCAGCGCCTTAATCTTGCGGCTCAGCAGAAACATGGGCGTGCTGGCGCGGATTGTGGCGACGTCGAAGGTTTCCGTGTGGTAAATCACTTCGGAAACCGCGTCTATGCCCTCTTGTACAGTGAAGTGTAGCTCGTGGTGGTTTGTGCCGATGAAATCCGCGACTTCTCTCGCTGCCCGCAGGTCAGGGGCGTCCTGGAGATTGGAAAAAAACAAAGAAGTGGGAAGATGGTAGTCGATAAGGGGAAAGTTAGAAAACTAGGAAGAATAAGGATAGATTCTTGGAACAAACATATAGATTCTTTGGTTCCATAAGATGCAATGCAACCAAATGGAGCCAAATGGAGCTGCACGACGGCGGCGAGGAGCGACGAGTCGAGGCCCCCTGCTTACTCGGCGCGCAATGATAGTTAGTAAGGGCAACGCACCTCAAGGCCGATGCAGTAGGAGTGGAGCTGAGGGCCCCACTGATTTTCCAAATGGAGCTGCGCGACGGTGGCGAGGAGTGATGAGTCGAGGCCCCCCGATAGAAGCACGCCGAACGGCACGTCTGGTAAAGCTAACGTACCCCAATCACTCAGAATTTCAGTCCCGACCCGACGCACCTCGAGGCCAATGCAGTAGGAGTGGAGTTGCGGCCCCCACTGCTCCCCCAAATGGCTCTGCGCGACGGCGGCGACGAGCGATGAGTCGAGGCCCCCCGATAGAAGCACGCCGAACGGCACGTCCGTCATCAGCCGCTTCACGACGGCCTTCTCAAACGCGGCGCGCAGCGCGATCGGATCGTACGGCGCTGAGGGGATGTGCTCGTCGTACCACGCGGGGCTGTACCAGCGACGGGGCATGTCTGATGAGAAGGTATGATCATGGGAATCACAGGAAGAGCGGAGTGAATTATTGCCCACAAGGGACGAGCGGATCGTACCGCGCCGAGGGGATGTGCTCGTCATACCACGCGGGGTTGTACCAGCGACGGGGCATTTCTGGCGGACAAGAACAGAAACGCAGGAGTTCAGGAGATGTAAGAAAAGGAACAGAAAAGTAATGACAAAAACAGGAGAAATTTCAGGGGAAACAAATCGAATTCAGCTTGAAGCAAAAGACTCACTGGCTTTGCTGGAGGAGACACTGCCCGGCGGGAACGTCTCGAATTGCTCGCAGTCGTCTTTAACAGCCTTCATTTCAGAGGCGAACCACAGGGAGCCATCACGACCCCAGCCGATGTAAAGCGGACACACGCCGATGGGATCCCGCACCGCGAGGTACGAGCCGTCCTTTGTGTTGAGCAGCACGAACGCGAAGATTCCGTCCAGCTTCTGAACCACCGCAACGCCCACGTCTTCATACTGGAGAAGGGCGGTGAAGAAATAAGTGACCTGACAAGCTACAGGGAAGCACGACGTGCCCGTCTAACGGACAAGCTACCGGGAAGGGAGCCTCATACATGCACAATGTCAGCCTCGTTTCCGAAATCATCGTAAGAGACGATCATACGGATAGATAAATTGAAGGAGTGGAAAAGTGTAATAACGAGGATGTTCAAAACGAGCAAACGAATAAAATGAAAGCCAATTTGCAAACGAGTAGTAAGAATGAAATAGCTTACTATGAGCAATAAGGTGGTCCGAACCAAGACCAGATTAGTCGCTCATCCCATCATATCAGTGTACGCACGAGACGCGGCGCGACGACTTACGAAATCCGCGCGACGAATCGTCGGGCTTACGAGACGCGCGATGACTTCGCAATCGCTGCCAGTGTTGAACGTGTGGCGATGCTGCAGCTCGTCCCTCAGCTGCTGGTAGTTGTAGATCTCGCCGATGACGGCCACCACGATGTTGCCGTCCTCTTTGCGTAACGGCCGGTGGCCGGACGCCGGGTCGATGTCGGCTAGCCGTTCGTGCGCGAGGAAGTTATTGCCGAACGTGTGTACGCTCCAGTCGGGACCACGGTGGCGCAGCCTGCGGGGGACACGTGGCATCAGGTCATTGACGGGAGCTAAAAATGTCAAAGCTTTGGATGCGATGCGAAAGTCCTTGAAAAGCAGATAGATTTGCGATGCGCGATTGCCAGCACACGGGAAAATCCTGGCGCTGATCGCATGCGTCATCTGTAATCAAGACTCGGTGCTGTAAGCTTCGTGAGTTCATAGCCGCTGGCGAGAGAATAAATGGAAAATGATTGTGTCAAAACCACGGGAGTGCTGAAGTGACGACCATAATTACTTGCAATTTACATGACGTTGATGCTGCATCCCAAACATTGGGTTCGATTGGACAATGTACCTACACCCCGTCTACAACCAATATACACTGTTTTTACAAAGTGTACAAATACAATGTGTGTACATGTTCTCCTACATACCACCTACTTCGACACCAGGGGTGCAGTAGCCACTCTGTCCGTACTTCATTCCGACAATGGGTACAGGGAAGTCCCCACAATGTGCGCACTCTAGCTCCACCCTACACACACATGAGATGGCTATCTAAACAGGGTGATTAGTATACACAATGTATACACTATGTACCCTAGCATGAAGTAGGTACAAAGCACACAGCAGGTCATTTTGCACGTATTCGATTAGACTTTTCCAGGCCACGTTGTGCTCGTTTGTGTTGAGGATAACATTATTATAAGAAAAAGGACTAATACACAAAATTTCAGGAAAGACTTGCTAAAAACACTTCGTACGTTTGGCCTTCACCAGTAGCGACCCTACTGGGTGAGCGATCCTGGCAACAAGAAGCGTAAAGCCCTTCCCTGCAGAACAAGAATCAACATTTTAGGGGAAAAAAAAGCCCAATTACTTACCACTAAGTAATTCCCACGATAAAATAAGTAGGACCGACGAGATAATAGCCTCGAACTATACAGAGCATTCGAAAGCGTTACGCCTGCAAAACCGTGACACACTCAAGTTTTGCTACTAATGGGCACAAAACTGACGACAGAAATAGTGCATTATGCACGGTAAAGTTCTAGCCTGCCGAAACACGACGCATATATTCGGCGTTTCGTGGACTGGAGGACAAGCAATAGAAACCAGCGACATATACCACCGTTAGTGTTAGAAAAACAAACAACAGAAACAAAAGCGACACTTACTGAAGTTACAACGCTGCCGCAGCAAGCACGCCCGCGCCCATATCAGCACAACCATATCGCCAAGCCGTATCGGCACGTCCATATCGCCCTTCGACATGCGTTAAGGCATAAGCAAACGAGATGAAATCGACGGTAACACAACAAGAATTGCAGATTCCTAAGGTAAGAACACAGCAGGAGCGTGGTCTGGCAGGTGAAACAGATGAGAGAAAAACTAAACTAGGGTTCTGGAGGCTAAGGAATGAATGAAGGGAAAGGGGGTTGGGTGTTGAATATACTCAGTTTCGTGTGTGTGGCTAGGCTGAAATCTGCGGTGGATGGAACTCGAACCAATCGGAAACAATCTAGCATTATTTTCTGCTGTTAGAATGAGAAGGAGTGATTGCAATAGGAAGATTGAGAGTACAAGTAGAAAAACCTACAATTGTGTACCCCCTAAGGCTAAACCCACTATAGCCTACAGAACAAAAACATATATAATGTTTGACACACCCCCATAGGCAAAGTGGGGGAGAGCAAAGGGGGTCACAAGACCAGTCAAGAAAGGAAAAGCAAGCTCAGGGTGGATCAAAAAGTCACCACACACTCTGAGCACAAGCAAAGGGCCACAAGGCCAGTTCTCATGCAGAGGCATATATGCAACACAAACAGCACAGTGATCTCTATCTAGCAGTGCAAACATGCAGGAATATATATATATATAGATCACAGTACAAGCAAAGCCTACATCAAGTGAGGAAAAGTGGGCACAAGCCCTAACAAAGTACAGAAACGCTGATGATCACCAGACACAAGTGCCTCGGTGAATATATCAGCAGTGTTGGCTTGAGTGGCCACACAACGCAGACGAAGCTGGCCACGCTGCTGCAACTCTCGAGCCAGGAAGGAACGTAGAGCGATGTGTTTCGTTCTGTGCTCCTCACACAAAGCAATGGCAGCCTTGTTGTCGACGTACAGAAGAGAAGGAGAACGAGGCCGCTCTCCCAAGTCGGTCAGTAGGTAGGTGAGCCAGCGTAACTTCTCTGCAGCCATGGCTGTGGCGTAGATCTCAGCCTCACAAGTGGAGCTGAGAACTGAAGACGAACGTGTAGAACGCCAGGAAACTGAGCCAGAGCCAAGGCTGAAGGTGTAACCCAGTCACGACCGCTGAGTAGTTTGGTCGTCAACCCAAGAAGCGTCTAAGTGCCCAGTGAGAACAACTCAGCTCCTCCCTCCAAGCACGAGCCCCATGCCTGATGTACTGCACAAGTAGCGCAATACCCTCTTTTTGCAGCATCCCTGTGCACCTTTCGGTGCCTACCACGAGCCACGTAGCGGGCCAGAAGGCCAAGAGGGTACACAAGGTCAGGACGAGTGCACGTCATCAGGTACATGAGGCAGCCAACTAGCTCTGGGTAAGGACCACTCGGCTCTACGGACTCATCCGAAGGCAGAGCTGAGAGCGAGTGACCTGTAGCCAGAGGAGTGGCTCGTGCTAAGGACCAGGTGAAGCCGAAGCGCTGAAGGACCTGCTGCACCATGTGTGACTGAGTCAGTGTGATGGTGCGGCGTGCTCTGTCCCGGGTGATCTGCAAGCCAAGGTAGCTGCGCAGTTCACCCAGGTCTGTGCACGTGTGTCTCTTCTACAGCTCAAACTTCACGTGGGCAAGAGCCTCAGTGTCAGCAGTGGCAAAGACCAAGTCGTCGACGTACACGAGGATGTAGAACGGCGGCAGCAACGTGTCGGTGCGCAGAAACAGCGGTGGGTCAACAGTAGAAGGCGCGAACCTAAGAGCTGCAAGAGTAGTCCTCAGTGTGTCGTGCCACTCACGTGGCGCCGGGCGGAGACCGTAGACTGGCCGCCGGAGGCTCCACTGGGTACCAGGGGGAAACGACTCAGTGAAGCCAGGAGGGCGGCGCAGCCAGATCTCCTCGTGCAGGCTGCCCTGCAAGAAAGCTGTGCTGAAGTCAAGAGAGTGAAGCTCGTAGTCACGCTGAGCGGCAACGTGCAGTAGCACCCGAAGAGTGGTCATCTTCGGGGTGGGGGAGAAGGTTTAAAAGAAGTCTACTCCCTTTCGCTGATTGAAGCCTCGAGCAACGTAACGACCCTTGAAGACAGGCGGATAACCTGGCGGCCGCTTCACCCTGAAAATCCACATGCCACTGACGATGTTCGCCCCAGGAGGGGGAACCTCGTCGACGTAAATGCCAGTGGACTTCCAGGATGCCATCTCTGTGTCCATGGCTGACTGCCACTGAGAGGAGTACTCACTCACGATCGCCTCAGTGTAAGAGCGCGGGGTCGGGATGTCTGGAGCATCCGGGTCTCCCTCAGGGGCAAGCAGCATGGACACGAGATGAGGCGCAGCGGCTACAAGACACTCAAGGTCCTCCTATTTGTCCTCAAGGACGTCCGTGCCTAGAGCACACTCACCCCGACGGACGGAGGTCAGACAGACTCAGACTCAGCAACAAGACTGGCGGTGTAGTCTAGACGACAGCGAACAGCAAAGTCGACAAGCTCGGCAACTAGGGCAGACGCAGCAGCAGACTCAAAGGAAGGGTCAGTGACAGCAGTGGCCAGGAGACGCGTGACAGTAGGACTGGCAGCACGAAGAGAGTCAGACTCCGGGTCAGCAAGGACAGAAAGAGAGGACGCAAGAGGAGACGGCAGAGGGACACGCTGTGGAGCAGTGGAAGGACGCAGACTCATATAGTGTGTGCCAAGGACAGGCGGAGGACACTGACGCGGACCACGGCAACCAGTGCGAGCAGCACGAATTGGTGACACAGGATGAGACGCAGGCGACACAGAACAAGACTCAGGCTCACAACGCTCTGTAAGACCGCCTGTCGGACCAGTGTAAGGAGAAGGACCAGGAAGTGGCGAGGCAGGCGGTAGCTGTGACTATGACTGGACAGGCGGAGGACACTTTAAGGAGGGAGCAGGAAAAGGAGGAGGCGGCTGACCAAAAACCTGTTGGAGGAGTGGAACGAAGTACGGTCGCGGCCGTGCAGTGCCCTCAGAACCAGTAGAGACAGCACCAGAACCTCCAGCAGCAGCTCCAACTCGTGCAGCACCACCAGCAGCTCCAGCACCTCCAGTAGCACCAGCAGCTCCAGTACCTCCAGCAGCACTAGCAGCACCTCCACCAGCACCCCCAGTCCTAGCAGCTCCAGTACCGCCAGTACGAGCACCTCCACGACTAGTGGCTCCAGTACCTCCAGTGCCGACCCCAGGGTCAGCAACAACACCACCTCCAGTAGGCACAGCGCCCTCAGCTCCAGCTCCAGTAGCACCACGGAGGCGGCGTTAGTACCGAGAGTACCACTCACGCAGCTGCTGGGAAGAGAGAGCGCCCACAGGCGTAGTACCCCCAGGCTCAGGACCTCTTCACTCAGCAGCCCCAGGGACAGCTCCCCCAGGCTCAGCACCCGCAGGCTCTGCACCCCCAGGCTCAGCACCCGCAGTCTCTGCACCCCCAGGCTCAGCACCCGCAGTCTCCGCACCCCCAGGCTCAGCACCGCCAGACTCCGCATCCCCAGGCTCAGCACCCCCAGTCTCCACACCCCCAGGCTCAGCACCCCCAGTCTCAGTACCCCCAGACCCAGCACCACCAGGCTCAGCACACTCAGGCGCAGCACGCTCAGTACCTCGCGGAGGACCAGAGTCGACAGCTACCTCGACAGGCTCGACTGGGTCTACCTGGGAAACACGTGAGGGAGCAGGACCCTGGGGAGGCAGGGGGTCTACCAAAGCAGCACCTGGCGTGAGGAAGAGCGGCGGGGGGGGGGGAGCGGGGCAGTGCGGTAGGGGAAGAGACGGTAGAAGGGGACCGACTCGTCAAACGTGACGTCCTCAGAGGCAAAGACCCGGCGCGAGGTGGGGTGGTA